AACATCAATATTGACAGTATCAAAAGAAATGAACGTTTTCAAAACGAAGTCTATTTACTCACCACAAAATCGGAGTTTCCACAAAAGGAAGTCTATTTGAGAGAAGCTTTCACTTATCTAAACTCTAAAGCGGACGATCTTGCATGAATGATCCAAAGGATGACGACAAGATCATAATAACTAGTTTCGAGTATAATGAGCTTGCAACATATAGAGTTTCGAGTTGAGGCCAACCACTGAAGTCAGGTACGCAACCAACGCTTACATTCTTCCATTAAACAAACTCAGAAGTCCAAGAAGCAAGAGATAAAAGTTTAAAAAAAAAAAAAAAACTCAGACAAGCCGGATTCCGCAAGATCATATGGCGTCTATTCCTTCAAGTCCTTCACTGATCATCAAAACTTAGAGAATCTTCTACACCAACCCAAGCCCGCGGCGAAAAACCCCTAAAACTCGAACGCAAAACCTCAAACTCGAACTCGAACACTTCCCCAACACTAGAACCCTAAAACTAGAACGCAAAACCTCAACTCGAACTCGAACACTTCCCCAACACTACAACGGATTCGAAGCTCGAGCTCGAAACCATCCGACCTTGCAACAAAGACGAAGAATGATGGGGGAGCTCCTCCTTCATTCCTCCGACCTTCTCTAGGATGTGGTGCAATCCGTGCTCCGCGAGAACAAGGTACGCACCCCAAACACCTCCCCAACTTCTTCCGCCGGTCTGATTCCTTGTCGGGGCTTGCCTTAGAATTTGCCCTTCTCAATTCTTGCCGTCATTCTCTACTATTCTATGTTATTCTTTTGCCCATGCCATCGCCGGTCGAATGATTTGTAATTTTTTTTATTTGCAAATGAAAATGGGGTTAGGGTTTTCGATTGAGACCTAATTTAGTCCCAAATTGTCAATTTGGAGCAAGGACATAAATCAAATGACATCGTCCATACGCTTTTAATAATATCATTTCCTCAATAAGTCATGCCGGACGATTTTGTATTAACTTAATGTCACGTGGGATCTCCGGTTAGGGAACTCACTGATGACATTGAAGTGAATCTTTTTTAAAAAGTTATGGCGTTTAAGTGGTTAATCGAAAAGTTATATCATTAAAATCAATGTTGTATGAAGATTACGACACTGTTAGTGTTTTTTTGCTGCTCAAAGAGGTTACGCCAAATAAAAATCGATTTGAGACCTTAGACTCTGGGAAAGTCCAAATTGCATTGAAAGTCATTTTGAGAAGACATTTTCATCTTGTCTGCATTGAGCTGAAGGATCGTTTTCTACATTTCCTTCAAATCAACTTCCAGTATAGGTTAAAACAACTTGAGAATATTATTCATGATAACCAAATTTCCTAGTTATTGCATTAGAATTCAAGTTGCTGCCGCAGATTCTCTTGAGCTTTGAGCAGTTTGTTCATGCTTCTACTCTTTCACCCATAAGCCAAAGCTATGTCGCGTCAACTCGTACATAATTTCTCGAGTTAATACCACAAAAACCTCAAACGAGTACACTTATGATAAATTTACCACAAACTAATTTTTCGAGCATAAAAAACCTTAAACTGGTACACCGGTGATAATTTTACCCTCTCTTAGTTTCTATTAAATTTTACTGTCAAATTTCTGAGTTGAATGACACGTAGCAGTTGACGAGTGTACCAGTTTGGGGTTTTAACCACCGTTTATTACAGGTGTACCATTTTGTGATTTTTCATGATATTGATCCAATTTAACAAGGATAAATTTGTCATAAATATACCATTTTTTTTATTTTTGGTGGTCAAAAATTAGTTTGGGGTAAATTTGTCACTGGTGTATCAGTTTGGGGTTTTTGATAGTCAAAAAATTAGTTTGAGATAAATTTATCATGGATGTACCAGTTTGAGATTTTTTATGGTTAAAAAATTAATTTATGGTAAATTTATCACAGGTGTACCAGTTTAAGTTTTTTCGTAGTATTAACCCTAATTTCTCGAGGCAAAATTTTGGATTAAGAGACATCCTTTTGTCCGAAAGGCATCAGTTATATCGTCACGAATCGATCGCTTGAGAGCCACGATTGGACGTTAGCCACCAGGACATTTCCCCTTACGAATTCTTCCGGACTCAAGACATCTACGCATGTTGAAAGGGCTGGGCATAATCGATTCATGAGCTTATCGGTCCTACGGCCAAGTGACGATTTATTCACCATAAACTTTTAATGAAAGCACCAGATAGATTATTATATACTAATATGGGGGACAGACAAGACGGAATTTGATCCAAATGCAAAGTTAATCTACTTTTCCTATGCACCCCATTAGGGTCGAATCATTCTCCAAAGTGCAAAGAAGCGACCGACTGGCATCGAACATTTGTAGACATTTTCTTTATTCCATTAGCTAACAAAGAATAATAATGGTTAGCTTGAATTCTTAAGAAGCGCACGCATTGGACATTTAGGGCAATGTCCATACTTCCCACTGACGTGCATGTCCGTGTCCCCAACACATTAATGACCAACCACGTTGCGTATCGCGAATCGAATTCACGAGTACAAACCATGTCAGATCGGGTAATTTATCCCGTTCAACACAAGTGGGAAGAAAATATAACACCGAAGCACACCGATCGAGCCTCTCGTGTCCCGTCGATCGCTCTCTGTCCGCGTCGGATCGGGGCTAACGTGTCGAGAGTAGGTCTCGATAGCGTGTAGTATCGTTCGATAGGGTACCGCAAAAGTTATAATTCGAAAAGGATTGATTTGTGGGTAATCTCTAGATGTTGTGTCAAAGTTTGGAGACTAATTCAACTCGTAACAATCTGAGTGGAGCACCAACAATCTGAGTGGAACACCAAGGCATATCAGTGATGACCGCTGTGGAGAATAAAAGTTGCAAATCAAAAGCACCATTTTCTACCGTAGGGAGGGAGGGAATGAACTGGAGAACTCGATGCACACGGAGAGAATAATTCGATGAACATGGCATCCTATCCAGCACCACTAACGAGTCACTTCTGAACTGACGTGAGTGCTTTCTCTGTGCAAAGCACTAAGTTATAGAATAGCGTATTCCCTAGAATGCCTACTCATCACGTCCTCCCGGGATTTTTATAGTGGACTGAACTAATCAAAAGGTTAGATCTCGAGCTTTCGAAAATTATATCAATTGATCTTGACCATCCAATTTTTTAACTTGAGAATCAAGTTGCGCACTATTCTCAAGAAAAGATACTTATACTTAGGCTCCGTTCGTTTGGCGGAAAATATTCTCCCGGAAAATATTTTCCGGATTTTCCGGTGTTCGGAGGGCGGAAAACGTTTTCAGTGGGAAAATATTTTCCTTCCCCCCTCACAAAATAGCCTAAATCTACGGAAAATGACTTCCGCTTCTTCAAAAGCGAAAATAATTTTCCGGAGCTTCTTCTTCTTCTTCTTCACTAAGGTCACCGGCCGCGCGCCGCCGCTGGTCGCCGGCCGCCGCCGCCGGTCGCCGCCGGACGTTGGCCGTCGGTCGCCGGCCGCCGCCGCCGCCGATCGCCGCCGCCACCGGTCGCCGGCGAAAAATATTTTCCGAAACTTTTTCATATTGATCGCCGAACACCGGAAAATTATGTTTCGGGAAGTCATTTTCCTGGAAAATGACTTCCGGGAAAATATTTTCCAAAAGGAGAATATTTTCCGCCAAACGAACGGAGCCTTAGACTCTATTCATTTCACGGAAAATAACTTTCCAAAAAATATTTTTCGAGCCTCGCCTGAGGTCGCTAGAGTCTTGCCGATGTTTGGCGGCCTCGGACCGGGAGAGCTCAAGCTCGCCTATTGCCGGTCTCCAGCCACCGTCGTGGCGGCGACTGACCAAGGAAGAAGGAAAAAAAAAAAGAAAAAGAATTAAAATTCTTTTAAAAATTTCGAAAATTTTGGTAATTTCCCTAGAAATTCAAATCGTTTATCGAACTGCGGAAAATATTTTCTAATTCATTTTTAGGTTTCAAGCTTTCAGCCGAATACCGGAAAATATTGTCATTTTCCTAGAAAATGACTTCCTGAAAAATATTTTCCAGAAGTATCACATTTTTCGCGTCTGAGTACATTTGTTTGCCGTGTGATAGATGATTCAGGTAAAAAATTTCATATGTAGTAAAAACACTCATTCATAGTAAAACATATTATTTGTAATAATTACATAAGATTTTTGTTGACAAAAAATTATACTTAATAAGTCTATCTACTATACAATAAGGCTGCGTTTGGTCGACCGGATAAAAGCCGGGATAGGATATGTTTTATACTATCCTGTGTTTGGTGGTGGTCTAGGATAGGATAAGGTCGGATATAGACCGGATAAAAAAATCCGGGGGGGAAGGGGTGGGATAGACCCGGATAGGATTTCTAATGCCTATTTTTCCAGAAATCCTACGCTCCACTTGCCGTCATCTTCATCCCCACACCTTGCGCGCTTTCACCAAAAAAATTTCTCGGCTTTTTTTCCTTCATTGACTCCTCCGGACCCGTGAATAGCAAAAAATAAAAATAAAAATTATCCTATCCGACTTTAAATCCGTAGTCCACCAAACAGTGGACATGATATGAAGAAATCCCAGGATTTCTTATCCTATCCTATCCAGTCATATCCTGTTTAGAAATCCGGACGACCAAACGCAGCCTAAGGGTTCATTAACACTCTTGATGGTGGCCGGCAAGGATCGCGCAACCCCCTGCCAAAGCAATTGAGCCACTTCCAGGCCACCTGTCTCTCTCTCTCTCCAATTTTTTAATAAGAATAATCTAATTGCAACTATGTTATGAATAATGTTAAGTGAAATGAAAAATTTTACTAAAAATAAATACCACAAACAAATAATGTTTACTACTAATTGTTCTTACTTAAAATGAGAAGATTTACCATGAACAAGTAAAGTTTACTTACAAATACACTGACTTTACTCTTAACGAAGTTGATATACTTTACTATACAAGAATTTTCATTTTCTTTGCAAGATGAGGTGAAGTCACCTTACCATAGAAGCCCCTCTTTCGAACTATACATCCTATAAGTAGTCTTGGAAAACTGAACTAAGCACTCTAGATGTGAGGCCACATTAGCTGCTGCAATTATCAGCTGAGCTCTCTATAGAGAGGAACCATGATTGGATTGGAAGATGTATACAAGGTGCTCACAGCCATGGTGCCTCTCTACGTAGCCCTGATGCTCGGGTACGGCTCCGTGAGGTGGTGGCGCATGTTCACGTCCGAGCAGTGCGACGGCATAAACCGCATGGTCTGCTACTTCATCATCCCTCTTTTCGGCTTCGAGTTCACGGCCGCGCACGCCAATCTGTTCGAGATGAATTACTCCGTCATAGCGGCAGATGTCATCTCGAAGTCCCTCGCTGTCCTGATGCTTGCCTTGTGTGCCAAGTGCAGCAGCAAAGTGGACTATAGCTGGTGCATCACCACCTTTTCCTTGCTCACTTTGACTAATCTCCTAGTTGTCGGGTTACCACTACTGAGAGCAATGTATGGTCAAGTGGGTGTGGATCTTCTTGTTCAATTAATGGTTGTGCAGGCCATTCTGTGGTTTCCACTTCTGTTGTGTTTTCTCGAGTTCCGGAAGATGGAGATGGACTTTTCTCCAACGAGCGCGACGACTGATGAATCGGTGCCGAGCGAGAAAGATATGGAGGGAACGGCCGAGGCTGTGAGGACCAATAACACAAGACCAAGATTGTGGACCGCCATGAAAATTGTGGGTCTGAAACTGGCTTTTAATCCTAACATCTACGCTTGCGTCCTCGGCGTTGCTTGGGCAGTAATAGCACACAGGTTTGCAATGCTAGAGATGCCTTTTGCTTTAGCGAGAAATTTCGGATTGTCGCTGAATATCCATCAACTTACATAACCATTTCTTTTGTAAGGTTCAAAGTGAAAATGCCAGGCATCGTCAAAGAATCCATACAGATTCTATCAAGAGCTGGGTTAGGAACTGCTATGTTCAACATTGGTAAGCAAAGAGTTAATGTGTCGGCATGTTATAAAAAAGGGTTTGGCCTAAAGGAATTACACCTGTTTACTTTCATTTACAAGAGTAGGATTTCATATTTGCTCTCGTCTGATATGTGTGCAGGTATATTCATCGCAATGCAGAGAAAGGTGATAGCTTGTGGCATGAAAATGGCATGTTTGGGAATGGTCTTGAGGTTTATTGCTGGACCAGCTCTAATGACTGTGAGTTCCCTTGTCATGGGACTGCGCGGCGATGTTCTCAGAATCGCTATCATGCAGGTAATGAAACTAATTAAAGTCCATTGCCTAGATTCGATCCCCGGATGGTATTAGATTCATTCCATCTTATAAACTCATGCGATCGATAGGCCATATTTTAAACCCGCCAACGCAAGCTAGTATTGCTTAGGTAAGCCTAGAGGTGGTATATGGGTCAAGAACGCATATATTAACCCATATTCAATGATTGCGTGTTATAATAAATTGGCTTTAGTTTTAAAAATAGAATTAAATGGGTCATTAATTGGTTGCTTATTAAATTAATGGGTCTTAAATGGGTATTAAATGGGTTACCCAATAAGCTTAAGTAAATAATAAACATGTCATTTTCATTTTTTTAAAATTTAAAATTTAAAATTTGTTATAATTTGTTATATTCTTATTTTCCTTTTTCCTTTTTATTTTTTATTTTTTCTTCTTCTTCCCCCGCCGGTGGCCAGGGGAAGAAGAAAAAAGAAAATAAAAATAATAAAAATATGATTTTTTTTTTAAATAAAAATAAAAATATTAAAATGAATGTACAGAGGAAAATATGATTTTTCGTACCAGACGACGGAAAATATTTTATAATTCATTTCTAGGTTTTAGCCAAATATCGAAAAATATTATCATTTTCCTGAAAACATTATCCAGAAATGTCATATTTTCCACAAAACAAACGGAGCGTCAATATTTTTTAAAAGATTTGTCTTGCGTGAAGATGTTTTAGCAATACAATTTTTTAAAATAATTATCAGCAATAAGCTTTCCTAGATTTAGTTAAATAGGTCGGGTCGGGTATGAGTTGAGAAATTTGCCTTTCGATAAATGGGGTCATAAACGGGTTAAATGGGTCAAGTTAGGATGAACCATTTTATGACCCGACCGGACTCGAAACCGAACCCGAGCCGACCCGATCCACCCGTTTAACGGGTCTAGGTAAGCCTAGTGATAGAACTTTCAAAGCTATAGCTCTGCTTCTGTCACTTGTATCCTACTTCTATGGATCCAGAAGAGCGATTTGCCTTTCTCCTCATTTGCAGGCGGCACTGCCACAGGCGATTACAACTTTCATCTTCGCGAAAGAGTACGGCTTACATGCGAGCGTTCTCAGCACCGCGTAAGTTGTCTGAATTCATTCACATGCACAATGTTCACCCAAATCAACTTTCATTGTGGTCTAAAGAAGGCTTCTGCTCTTGTATATTGCAGGGTGGTGTTTGGCACATTGGCATCCCTTCCACTGCTGATAGCCTATTATGCTGCTTTAGAGGTTATATAAAAGCTGACCAACGTCCAAATATTAGGGAAGAAGCATTTGAAGAGACGAAATGGAGGATCAATGCAAGAGCAATGAGAAAATTTGTGGCGATTAACTCGTGAATTATGAAACGTCACAAATTCCTTAATGGTGATTTTTATGCCCAAATATTCCCGAGTTCATATACAGAATTCGCACTAGAAAAAGAAATTTTAGGGAGAGTTGCATTTCAAACTTAATCAAAATCAGATTGGGGTGATGTCCATACTTGCAACTAACTAATTTCAGAAATTAGAATATACTCTTTCAATGCTTTGATCCGGAACATCACAAAATCCAATCTAGATTATACAATAACAACATTTCTCTTCCCCGGCCCTATTTCTGGCTAGAAATAAAAAACTTTATTTCTCCTCCCTGGACGAGTTTCTGAGCAAAAAAGTAGCATTTGATAACAATACAAAATTTTTGTTCTCAGAATATAAATTCATTTGATAGGTTATTCTTAAATTTCTATTCCCGGCAGCGGGAGTGTAGCGAGTGGGTGGGCGGCGAGCGGCGGGCGGGCAGGCAAGCGATGGGCGGCGGGCGGGCGGGTGTCAAAGTCCGCACCTGTAATTTGGAGTTAAACTTGCAGAAACTATACATGGGCCGCATATGAGTTGTAACTTTTCATAAGATCGATATTGAAAAATGGTTTTTTCGACTTTTGACTAGTTTCTTTTATTTAAGGAAAGAAGAGAAAGCAACTTGTGAGAGCTTAACTTGCACCTACTATTGATTACCTATGGGAAAATTACCAAATGAGTCATAAATTTATTGCACTTATTCCAATTAAGTCATAAATCTTTCAATTTGATTAATTTAGTCCCAAACTTATTGATGATTTGTCAATGTAGTCCTTCTGATCAATTTTGGCCGGAAATCGCTAACGTGGGCATTGACAGTGCCACGTAGGATAACCGGCGTTAACGTGGACAATTTTTGTAATTTTTTGATTTTTTATTTTATTTTCCCTTTTTTTCTTTTTCTTTCTTTCTTTTCCTTACCAAGTCTAGTGAGTGCTTCGCAGCCCTACCAGATTTGAGGGAGGGCCGTGACCCTTGCACACGACCTTGCTCGCGCTAAGCAAGAGCGGCCGGCCCTCGCTTGTGGTCAGCCAGGGTCAGCTGACCCTATTCGGGCTTAGAAGAAAGAAAAAGAGAAAAGAATGAAAGAAAAATAAAAAATAAAAACTAGAGAAAAAATAGAGGAAAAAAATAAAAAATTCAGAAAATTTTTAAAAAAATTACAAAAATTGTCCACGTTAGCACTGACCGTGCCACGTAAAACAGACAGCGTTCACGTCAGCAATTTCCAGCCAAAATTGATCGAACTGACTATATCGACAAATCATTAAAAAGTTTCGGACTAAATTGGCTAAAGTGAAATGTTTATGAGTGAATTGACACAAGTGCAATAGGTTTAAGACTTTTTTGATAATTTCCTAGATTACCTATGTATCCGCCTCAAATGTGAACCTTCCGACATTCATCTTACCTAGCTGCATAATTGTCATTCTATACGTGCATCGGTTGGTAAATGTGCTTTCATATGTGATTATGCTCTCTTTTTAATATTAGTGTCAGTAATTTTCATGATGTATGCTAGTTTAGGTTATTATCCATTAGCGCAGAAAATTTTCATGAATATTCCAAAATTCTGCCTAAAGTTTAGATTTGAAATTGATTTAAAGTAGAAGTATAATAAATGAAAAACCAAAATAGAAGAGTTTCAATACTATTTAGCTCCTTTGAAAATTCGATCTGATTTTATCCTAGAATAAGTGAATTTTCTTTTTAGTGCCATATTCCTTGATTGTCATTTCATGCAATCTATGCACTATTTGGATTTTTCATATGTCGAAAATAAAGTAGTAAATTAAAACTCGTGAACTTTTATGGGGACTTTCGTTAAAGCTTGTTCTTTTTTTCAGCTTTATTTGCTGCTGAAAGAATTTATTCAATTCTTTGACAAAAAAATAAGAAGAATTTGTTCAATTCCTATTATAAATACGTGGATGAATTAATATCCTGAGTTTGTATGGAAGGTGCTTTCCCTATATGGCATCAAACGATTTGAATTACTACTTTTCCCTGAATATTCCATTAATTTGCGTTACTTTACATGCCCGAAGTATTGTGTGTACTTATTAGTACGATTCAACAACTCTTAAAAATTTTAGGATTAATACTACGAAAAACTCTAAACTGGTATATCTATGATAAATGTACTCCGAACTAATTTTTTTACTACCAAAAACCTTAAACAGGTACATCTGTGATAAATTTACCACCAAAAACTCCAAACCGGTATACTTGTGATAAATTTACCCTCCGTAAAATTAGATTAATACCACGAAAAATCACAAATTGATAAACCTGTGACAAATAGAGGGGTAAAACCCCAAACTGGTACACCCGTCAACTGTTATGTGTCATCCAATTCAACAATTTGACAATAAAATTTAATGAAAACTAACTGAGTGTAAATTTGTCTCAGGTGTACCAGTTTGGAGTTTTTGGTGGTCAAAAAATTAGTTCGAGGTAAATTTATCACGAGTATATCAGTTTGGGGTTTCTCTTGATATTAGGCCAAAATTTTATGTCTTGTGTTTTCTTTTTATGAAACGATCAACCCATATTGATGTGAATATTTGCTTCGTTTTAATTTTTTACATGTTATTTTTCTTACGAAAATTCACGTCAACCAACCTTCAGATAATACGGAAAAAAAAATTACAGTCTTAAACCCATGAAACGTGCAGGCCTCTTGCAAGTTAAAAGCCTAATACCAACTAAGGTTTCGTTTGTTTAGTGGAAAATGAAAAAAATGATCGCTTGTATCGCCTAAAATAATCAACCAATAAAAAATGTTTTTATCATCGATAATAGTTTATGCCTCAACATTTTTGTCGAAGATGAAAAAAAATTTCGTTCATTTATTTTATTGTAAGTAATTCAGACGATCTTTTTTTTTAAAAATATTTTTCAAATCATTCGCTTTCTGCGAAATAAAGTACCCTAAATAAAATAAGGGATAAGTGCACTGAAAGTCATAAAACTTGTTACAAAAGTGTAATTAAGTCCTACAACTTTCAAAAAGTGCAATCAAGTTTTAAAACTTGTCATGAAAGTATAATTGAGTTCTAAAACTTTCAAAAAGTACAATCAAGTTCTAAAACTTATCATGAAAGTGTAATCAAGTCCTAAAACTTGTCAGGTTAGTGCAATTGAGTTCTAAAACTTTCAAATAGTGTAATCGACGGAAGGATTTGATTGAACCAATTTGACAAATTTTAGGATTTGACTGCATTTTTTTTGAAAGTTTTAGGAATTACGACTTAATTGCCATTTTTTAAAGTTTTAGGACTCAATTATACTTTCGTGATAAGATTTAAAACTTTTTTTTTGTCGAGTTAATACCACAAAAAACCCTAAATTAATACACCCGTGACAAATTTACCATAAACTATTTTTTAATCATAAAAAACCCCCAAACTTGTACATCTGTGATAGATTTACCCTAAACTAATTTTTTGACCACCAAAAATCCCAAATTAGTACATTTTTGACAAATTTACCCTCTGTTAAATTGAATTAATATCACGAAAAATCACAAAATGGTACGCTTATGATAGACGGAGGGTAAAACCCCAAACCGATACACCCGTCAACTGCCATGTATCATCCAACTCAGAAACTAATAGAGAGTGAAATTATCACAGATGTACCAGTTTGGGGTTTTTCGTGGTCAAAAAATTAATTTGGGATAAATTTGTCACAGATGTATCAGTTTAGGATTTTTCGTGGTATTAACCCTTTTTTTATCGGATAGGACTTTTCCAATGCCCTAAAATAGGGGTGAGCATCAGTCCAAGGTTGACCCTGGACTAACCTTTGATCGGCCCAACCTAGCTGGTCCTGGTCCGGTTCCTAAGGAGATTGGGCCGGTCCTAGGTCTTGGGATCCTTGGACCCTCCACTATGCAAATTGGTCCTCGATCCTAAGACTTTAGGGTTGGTCCAACCCGAACCAACCATTTATATATCACATATAATTATTATTTAACATATAATATATTATATATTTTGGTTTACTTTAAATCATACCATAGCAACTGTGCCACTGTTATTTCTATTTCTTATGTGGTTCTACCGTGTAGAATTGTAAATTAGAAAGTAGAAACTTACTTTTTTTTTAGTCAAAAGAAACCCACTTAATTGGGTAACCCAACCTTGATTTGACCAAAAAAAAAAAAAGAAACCCTCCTCTTCCTCACCTGTCGCCTCACTTTGTTTGATCGCCGCTTGCCTAGGAAACCCAATTCCTTGGCTCACGCTGCTCGCCTAGGAAACCCTATTCCTTGCCTCACGCCACTCACCTCGCTCTCAGCTCTATTCGCTTGCGTTGCTCTTCGCTCACCTCGGTCTCGCTTTCACATATTCGTTTTTTATGGTTTGTTGCTTTTAGCAAATGGAGATTTTTGTTCTTATCTTATCTTAGATTTATGCTTGATATGTACCGGTGTTCATAGCTTTGTTGCTTAATGTCGCATTGTTGATGGATATGGAATTTGAAAAGTAAGTTTATACTTTTAAGGAATACAAAAAATGAAACAAAAAAATAATCGGTTTGTCTTGGGCTGACCCTAGAACGGGACCAGACCCATAGGGTCGGTCTGATGTTCGGTACTAGGCTCAATAGGGTCGATCCTCGATCTAAAAAATTAACGATTAATACTGTACGGATTGGCCCTAGAGTTAGGTGCAGGACCGGCCAAATCCAGACCATGCTCACCCCTACCCTAAAATAAATAAGAAATTGCTGGGTGCCGTTGCCGAACAGAGTGACCTTCCACTTCGGTATGTCGAGAGAGAGAGAGAGAGAGGGAGCGAAACCCTAACCTGACATATCTTCCTCCTCTTTCTTCTAATCTCGGCGCTCGCCCTCGCTCTCTCTCTCTCTCTCTCTCTCTTTCCTCTCGCTCGCTCGCTCGCTCGCACAGCAGCGGTCGCCGCCGCCGCCGCCATCGCCGAGCCTCCCTCGCTCGCCGCCGCCGCAGCGGCAACCCTGTCCCGCCCCTCTCTCTGTCTCTCGGTACCGACATCTCCATCTCTCGCGATTAAATTCTTGATTTCTTATACTGGTCAAGCGGCGCAATAACGTTTGCCATGAACGATGCTGTTTGATTACATGAGGATGCTATTCTAGAAAGGTGTAAGTGATTCTAGGATTGAGAAATTAAGGACCATGTAGTTGCTGTGATAGGATTGTTTTATAGGGCGATTCTTGAGGAAAAAGGAGAGAACTTTCGCCAAAACACTAGTTTTCCAGTGTAGTTACTAAGTCCAAAATACTAGTTTTGTGTTTTGAATTTGAATTGTTTGATGGGAAAGAGATTCGATTGAGATGACTGTTGTGTGCTGTAAATCTGAGAGATTGCTCTGCGAGTAAAGCTATAGTAAATCTTGGCACGGAAGAATTTAGAAGGCATTTTGCTTTACGATCTCCGGTTTCTCGTTGTGACCTCCCCCTTTTCTTTTGGTTCTTGTATCCTTCCCAGATGAAGAAGAAGAAGCAGAAATCTGCCGTTGGATCTACCGCCCCTGATTCTGATGCGGGTCTTGATCTGAAGTCTCTGATTCACCAGCATTCGGTGTTCTTCGACAAGTTAATCGAGCTCATCCCTGCGAAATTCTACCTGCCCAGTGATGACAAGGACAAGCCGTGGTTTCAGGGTCTCAGCAAAGGCGCAAAAGCTTCGGCCAAGAAGGAATCGAAGGAAAACATAAAGAAAGCTCGAAGAGAGCGATTAGACCCTGAGAGATCTTCTAGAACAACCCTCGACTTATTGAAGGAGAGCTTGGAGAAGGAAAAATCGAGCAACGAGTCTAAGGAAGAAGAAGTAATGGAACCTAGACCTACGCTGTCTGCTATGGAAGGTGAAGAACGGTCGGCGACGTACGAAGAGCTCCGGCAACGGCTTCTTCGCAAAATTCAAGAACTCCGAGGGAATAGGAATACTAGGAATCCTGATAGGCCAAAGCAAAGCGAGAAAAAGCAAGACAGACAACAGAAACGCAAGAGAGACTCTGCATCGGAGGAATATAAGCCCACAAATGGTGATTCATCAGAGAAGATAGAGGAAGATGCATCGGAGGCGGCAAAGGAACTTGCCCTCACTTATGTGAAGCTCGGGAATGATGGGGACAACAGGAAAAAGAAGAGGAAGGTTTCAAAGCTTAAGGAGCTGGAAAAGGCAAAAAGACTGGAAGAAGCAAAGAAGGACCCGGATAAAGGGGAGAGGGTTTCATGGAAATCTGCAACTGGTAGGGCAGCAGGTCTTAGGATTCATGATGATCCCAAATTGTTGAAAAAGAGCATAAAGAAGGAGAAGAAGCAGCGCCAGAAGAATGCTGGAAAATGGAAGGAGAGGATTGAAACCACGGAGAAAATGAAAGCGCAGAAGCAGCAGAAAAGGTCGGAGAACATTGCTGGGAGGGCTCATGACAAAAAGATGCGGCGGATTGCTAAAAGAGAGAAGAAGCTTCTCCGACCAGGGTTTGAAGGTCGCAAGGAAGGTTACATTAATGAAGTTGGAAGTTAACTGCATCTACATTCTTTTTGCAAGTTCCTGAGCGACAGGTAGTGACCCTTTGCCTTTGGATGGAGTTTGTTTAATTTTATATTGAAAGGGTTTATCAAGGATTTTTGTTGTAGCCTTCTAGGCAGTCTTCCTACTGTTCCTTAAAAGTCGAGGATAACGCTGATATGCTTTGAATATATGTGGCTATTTAATGATGGCATCGAGCAGCTCATGTAATCCAAGATAGGGCATACTATATAGCCAGAATCTGATGGAGCTTTTTGATTTGTTTTTCTTTGCCCTCTCCGAGGGACAATTTGCAGTCTGTTTTCATATGGGCGGCAGATTTAGGGTTACAGCATTTTTGTTTTCCCATGTTTCAGCCGTGTGAAGCATTGCCTGCCGTGATTTCTTTGTATACATACTCGTTAGCTGGCCATATTATGAATCAGGCTTCTTGGACATATGAGTGGTCAGTAAAATGGTTTATCATTTTGTTTTTGCTTGATGCAATATGTCCTGTCAAAACGCCAGATATCCTATGCGCGGCAGCTCAAACTACCTGTGCTCATACTGTGCATCGATAAGGTAGGTTCATGGAGGATTGGGTAAGATATGAATGAACGACAGTGAAATTAATGATGTAACGATGAATTGGTACTTGATGTTGGTATCGTTGCCGAAATATTTGGAATTCTTTCTATTCTATCTCCGGCCTGCAGGCGGTGTTCGTATCTTTTTCCCTGATGATGCTGGATTTTATATCCGGAGGGATTCTCTTATCTTTTTGTAACTTTTTGTGCTCGAACTCGCAATCGAAGGACATGAAACAGGACTGTCTGGTTAGTTGTGATATTTCCCCTTGCCCTTTTTCGATAGGACTACAACTCTTCTCTTAGACAACGGTCGATCGGGTTTGCATTTATGGTTCAATCAATAGGTCCACCCGATAAATCGCCATCTCCCCGCCATCTCATGGTAGCCCTACCACAACACACCCAATGTTCTTCCTGTTCTCTTTCTTGCTTTGGCTGCACGAGGCACATTTAATACTTTAAAACGCACGAGATCAATCTTCTTTTTGGCTCAATGTAATTGAGAAGATCCCAAATCCTTGCAATGTGCAGCATCAAAATTTTCTTTATCACCAGATGTGAAGGTGCATGACCATTTGACATGTTGGCCAGATGCTAGTGTGGCTCGAGATCCTCCATATGGGGCTCCCAAGCGAACTCTAGAAGCACTTGCAAATGAGAGTAAGACCTAAGTTGGCAGAAAAACTGCCACATTACATCTCCAGTTGATTTAAAGTATTAGACATTTTCCACATGAGCTTGTGGTTTTTCCTATTACAAACGTGGCTTGACACGGGAGTCATTAGAGTTTTTGAAAATGCAAAGGATTTCGCTGTAGTTTAATTAAACTGAGGAAGGATTTCGCGTGAGAGGACTCGGAAACTAAACATGGACCTAAAGCAGGGCTTGGTTCGTGCGGAATCGGAAAACTCGAGTTCACCTCTGATATGCTGAAGACAGGCTGTATCTGTCCCGCTTCTTCAGGGAGAAGAAGGAGAGTGCACTCGCATGATGGCTTTTCCTTGTGATGCTGCCGAGTAATATGGTACGAGTCAGAGACAGGAAAGAAGAATGAAGACACGGGGTAAGGTCACGAAAACGAATTTCACTTGGAACGGCAATCGTGGAAAGGAAAAAGCTTAGGCTTGCAAAGGAGAATTGAATCGGCAGAAGGATCAAAACGAAAGGGCGGGTTTTAAGAAGAAGAAGAAAGGGGATCGGATCTACCCTTCCCTGTACTGAAATTCGAAAAGGCGGGATAGCAGGAGCTCAAAAGCAGCAACTGCGCAAAAACGGGTGCCGAGTGGAAGACCAAGATAACCATTAGATCAAGCGCATGAATCCGTCACGTAACCATTGGGCTTTGGCAACCATGGCCAGTCCAACGTAGTGGCTCATCAAACAAAGCCTCTGCATGAAAGATGCGCCCACGGAGTCAAATGTAAAACACGCTTTTAACTTGCATTCAAAAGAGTATTTAGGCGCGACCGTTTGCGCGCGTATTGCACCCCTTGCTCCAGGCGAGGGTCTGCAGCACATTGGGGGAGGCAAGATCAAAGCCCACAGTTGGGTATCATGCCAAGGGGGGCTCATTTGAAGTGATTCCTCCCTCCGATCGAAAGAGAGAAGTATTTCAACACCAGGTCGTTTTGTCGTGTATGCGTCCGTTTGCCACTTCAAAAGCCACGTACACGCATATTTTGGCCAAAGTTGTGTCTCGATCCAAATTGAGATTGATCATTTCATAACATTATTTCTCAAATATGGTTTTAATAGATTCATTTGTCTAATATGAGCACGATATGAGATTAACCTTTCAACACACGGTACTTGTTAAGTTTGAGATAGGTGTCCCTACATTATTAAACTCATTTAAAACATTCATTACCAAAATATTCATAGTTGTACTAGAGAATTATATGAGTTAGAAATTTGTCGCCAATTACATAATTAGAAATATATCACCCAAAATGCAGAAGAAATAGAAATGCAAAATTAGAGATTTGCTAAATTAAGGTTAGCTAAAGTGGCCATAAAAAGTAAATTGATGGGTAAAGCTCGTGTTTGAATGTGCCAAGTGTTACAACTTCACGCGAGCATACTTTTATATTATTTCTCAAATACGATTTTAATACCATTGATTTGTCAAATATGAGCCCGATTTGAGATTAATCATTTAATATATCATTAGTTAAATATGGGTAAGATAAGATATAAATGTCCGATATCGTTAAACTCTTTCAATATTTCGTCATAAACAGCTATTTGAACTATATGACATACGTGCATTTCAGAATTAGAATCTATATATACATAAAGAATCGTTTGCAAATATTTATTACCTAAATATGCGTAATTCATACGAGACAATTATGGACGAGAATACATGAAAATATATCGATTGTATTGTTTAGAAATCTATTACCAAAACATCCAAAAGAATTACATCTGCAAAACAAAAGATCTGCTAGTCCTTAATTGATCATAAAAACATGGGATCTTTGCCCACGTTGGAGATTGCCCCCGCGTTTTTACCTCCTCTGCTTCTTACCTACGCTAGACAAGAAGAGAAAGAGGCAACCTCGCTCGCGGGGGTGTTCAAATCTTTGTTTAATTGTTGGAGGTCGAAAGCAAACCCGGGTATCGCGCGGTCCAATTCTTAAATGATATCCCCGTACGGCGTTGAAGATCGTGGCAACGTTGCTCCCCCGACATCTATCTCTCCAGCATCATCTACCGTGATGCTTGGGTTGTCTCCCACCTCCCCCTCCTCCCCCCCAGAACAGAAAGAACACACTTTGGCATGAGCCGCCCTGAAATTCCAATCTTGAACGTTTCAATTCGTCAGTTCTGGTTTAACCCAGAAGAAAAGTTTCGGTTTTTGGCCAAGTTTTTCCGTCTTGAAAGCTTGTGGCTGTTGTTTGAGAATACCCAAAAGCCAAAAGGATCAGTCTTTGTCCTTGAAAGCTTTTCATCGACCCCACTTGCCCCGGAAATAAGATAGCAGAGACTTGTCGTTTGTTGCCTCTCTCTCTCTCTCTCTGCATGCTGGGTGACTTCCATGGATATCAATCCTCCAAACGCTGTGAGTTCCCCCCCCCCCCCCCCATCCCTTTTGTTGATTATGCCCTTCTACGTGGATGATTGTTGTTGTGCTTGTCCCCTGTTTCTTGCTCGATGCAATCCGATGATAAAGATCATTCCTTTTCGAAGTTAAACTGAGCGTGTCGGTGGGCTGGTAATGAGTCGATGACACAATGACACAAAGCAAAATTTTAGAATTTTAGTGCAGAAAGTTAACCGCTGAGGGTGTCTCAGTTAATTAAATTCTCTGGGTCAGCTAAAAGTTTCACAAAGCGACTTTAGCATTTGGTTTTTGCGCCCTGATGGGTTAATCGTACTTTATCTTAACTTGCCATGTTCGGACGGCTTTGCATTTGATTCCCTGCGAAAGCACACTTTAATGAGTGCAATGGGAACACAAGATTCTCGCTCTTGCTTTTTGTAGTTTTGATTAATTTGCATCTTCCTTTCATTGTTTTCTCCATGAGTGACTACTTTTTCCAGTGTGCTCAAGTTTTGTTGAATATGCTGCTTCTGAAGGCAAATATGCGATAGTATCAGATGGGGGAATTTGCCAATAGCTCGTGAGGCTTGTTAGAGTTTACATTGCGTATGACTTCAGAGGAAGCTTATTCTTTCAGAGGAATCCTGTTTTGTTTCTCTGTCTTTGGATGGTGGAATTAAATTCATGTTGAGGGTCAAGCTGATTTTGGTGTGAACTGAGCACGGCTAAGTTGTAAATTGCAAACATCAGCCATGAAATACGTCTGTCATTTCAATGAACTGCTGATTATGGGCTATGCTGCATATACATAGTTGGAGAGTTCTATGCATGTTCAGACTTTGTCATTTCAATCCCGTCATCTCCTAATTTCATGCGTTAATTAAGCTTTCTTTTGCACTAATTACTTGTTAGGTTAGGGATTACTAGTTTATGGGCAAACCTTGAGCTACACAAATGAGATTTTATTAGCCAAGAAATTACAGTAGCCGGGAGCGGTTTTTCTTTAGATTCTAAAAGTAGTGTCCTTGACCATTTTTTCCAATGTATTTGATGCATATACGGTTTTTATCGCGCAATTGAGAGCTTGATGAGTTTCGAAAAATAGATTCAAGATGTTTAATGAGATGTACATATGATATCCGTTCCTTTTATTCACTTCAGTGAGTGAGTACATTGATTTCCTTGTGGAGAAGGACACTGGAAACCTTCATTTCTTCTGACATTATTCTGTTTTTCTTTTTCCTTCAGGCTTCCCTCTTTGCAGATCAAAAGTGTAGAAAATCTAGTTTCTGTAACTTCTTTCCTGCAGCATCTTTGTTTTGTCTAGGACTCTTCATCGGGAGTGCGCTGTTGGCATCAGATTACAAAGAGGTGTATACCTACTCTTCTTAGTTCTACAGATAATCATGTTTTTTCACTGTAACTCGGTCCCGGTAGTTTATATGCTGGATGTCACAAATGAAATTGAAAATGTTTTGCAGAAATTCTCAGGATGGGATTGGAGGATAATTGATAAATCACAGAGCTCTAACACCAGCACTTGTGCAGTATGTCATCCTTTCATCCAGTGCTTGTTATTAGAGAATGGCAGTTTTGGACCTCGTCACTTTCAATTCATTTGTGCCATGCCAGATGTCTCACTTGTTGCTTAATAGCTTCTTTGTGTTTTCATTTCAGAATCGTCGCAGACCACGTGGAAGTGAGGCCTTACCAGAAGGTATTGTTGCCAGTTCTTCTGATTTGGAAATGAGGCCGTTGTGGGATTCTGCAGAGGTAAAAAAGCAGCCTGAAATGACAATAGTTTTCATTGTAGAAGATATAACATCATAGTTCTGAACATCCATTAACTTGCTTGATCTTTGGACAGGGCTCTCTTAGTTCTTCGTCTAACTTGTTTGCAATGGCTGTTGGAATCAAGCAAAAGGATCTTGTAAATAAAATGGTTACAAAGGTGAGGAGACTCTTAGCCCCTTTTTCTCGAGCTTTTATCCAGGCTAACTGTGTCAATTTTCACTTTGCACTTTGCAGTTTCTGTCAAATGATTTTGTGGTGATGCTTTTCCACTATGATGGTGTTGTTGATGAGTGGAAGGACTTAGAATGGAGTGATCGCGTCATACATGTATCTGCATTTAACCAAACTAAATGGCAAGTGGTCTTTTCCTTCAAACCCCGGTAATGATCATTCACAGTATCCTAATGGATCTTCAATCTTGTTCTACATGTCTAGGTGGTTCGCCAAACGTTTCCTTCATCCAGATATAGTTGCAGAATACAAATATATTTTTCTGTGGGATGAGGACCTAGGAGTTGAAGATTTTCACCCCGACAAGTATGTGTGCTTCACCTCATAAGCAATTCAATTTTCTTTGCTACCTTACGGGGAGTGTAAGACGTGAGAGTATCAGTGTTCCACTTTGTTAATATGCGATGCTTCATCAAATAGCTGTTAAATCTACACTCATTCAGATAATTGGTTTCTTGATCAGCACACTAATAGCGCAATGACGTACTCAGCTTCATGTTTCATTGCAAACTTTTAGTTAACTTGTTGGCAATGATTGAATGCCATACCTTATTGTTTCAATGATTGTGTGCGATACTTGAAATGGTGATTATGGTGTGGTCCAACTTCCAAATGCCTTTGACAAGATATCTGGCTCTTCCCTCCTCCAAAACACCAAATTCTTGTAGGTATATCTCTATTATCAAGACCGAAGGGCTTGAGATATCACAACCAGCCCTTGATCCAACCAAATCAGAGGTGCATCATCAAATCACTGCACGTGGGAGGAGATCGGTTGTACACAGGTATGTCCTATTATCTTTTGCCAAAGTTTGACTCCAAAATTTGGTTGATCTCATACATGCCTCTTACTACATTTATTGTTGTTTTTAAGTCATTGCTTGTTGTTGGATTGTGCGAACCTCTGTCTAGTGATGGATGGTCTCAAACGTGAACATGGAATTAGGGGAGGTAAAATGAATGTATTACCCAACATCCAGACATGCCAGGCTTTAGCAATGTCGTGCCTCCTCAGGATCTTGCCTAAGAAAATTGCCATAACCATGGAACCGACTAATTGGTGTGATTCAACCATCCAAAACAAATTTTCTTTGTCCTACAGTAGCACTTTATCTGTGGGATTTCCATGCAGTAATTGCTTTTTTTACTTGAATAACTCGACAGTTAACATAGATTTGTAAGGATGGCTACAATCAGTCACGTAGCATCATCTGAAATGTTAATGTGTTCACCGAAGGACAACTTGCGGAAACGTCAATCTGTTTACTGAATGACAATATTAGGTTGAAAGTAAGCAACTATAGAGCGGTATTGATTTGTGGATTGAAGTACTATCTTTCTTCTTTTGTCAACAGGAGGACTTTCAAGCCTGGTGGTCCTGGTAAAGGTTGTGGTTCGAACAGTACAGCTCCTCCATGCACTGGGTAGGTGCACTGCACTATATACTATTGAAAGTGCTTTGTATCTGTTGGGTGTACTTTATATGCACTGGATTGTCTGTTTTTTGCAGGCTATTCTTTTCAGACTTTTATATTCGAGATAATTTACTCCTTTTTCCTTCTGCTGATCGTCTAGTATGGTCTTCTGTAGAAACTAAGTGGATATAATCTGTTACAGGTGGATAGAGATGATGGCTCCGGTTTTCTCTAGAGCTGCCTGGCGCTGTGTATGGTATATGATTCAGGTGTTCCATTTTTCTTGTGTCTGGTTTATGTCTTTTTCTAGGACATCAAAAGGTTCTGCTTGTTATTGGGGCCATGTCAATTGGAAGAGATGTCTAGGTTAGATAGGTAGCCATTAAGATGTGCAGGATGATATCTTTATTGTATGAGTTTAAATCTGATTTTGAATTGCACGCTTACTGTCTGATTTGGACTAGAATAATAAAGTTGGAAACTGCTGCATTTGATAATCTACATGTGTATAATAGAATGATAATTATAGTCACTACATTTTAAACTCATGGATGATATAGGGTGACCCAGTTCGGCCCAACCTTTTACAGAGGCAGATGAGTTACTCACCACTGTGTGCATTCTTAACTTTCTTAACAGAATGATTTGATCCATGCTTGGGGCCTAGACACACAACTTGGTTACTGCGCTCAAGTCAGTTTAACTTTCTCTACTCAGCCATCGATGTAGACTCAACCTGCTTTCCTTCTTAAACATCTTCAAGTTGGAGATTATTTACTTCAGTTTGTCTTGACAGGGTGATCGAATCAAGAATGTAGGCATTGTGGATGCTGAGTATATAGTGCATTATAATCGGCCGACACTCGGCGGTGGCATTGAAAACAAGGTTTGGACTATTACGGTTATCATTCTCTCAAGGTGCAGCATCTTGAATGCTGAATCAGCATAATATAGAAATAGTTATCAAAATCGTAAGGTTTGCATGCTATGCAGACATCATTTACGGGTCCTGACCAAAAAAAAAACGGACATCATTTACTGGTGAAATAGTTCAGTGTTGAAATTATCTTGAGGATTTTCTGTTGGTAATTGGGTTGTTAAGGTTATTTTTTATTGTTTTCTTCATCTTTACAACTCATGCTTGCAGTCGGACTCACAGTCACATAACGATACTTCTGAGACTGAAAAAGTGGAATCAGAGGTATTGTCTGATTTTTTACCTTCATTGATTATTGCAAACTTCTGGCAAATATCTGCGTGACTGGAAATTGTATATTGCCATCCTTCTTGTGCAGGCACAATCAAGGTCTCATAAACATGATCCTAGAGTTGAAGTAAGTTTCCCCTCATTTGCGACAATTTCCTTACCGTCTTATAATGAAGAAGAAGAAGCAAATGACGCATTCTAAAAGTTTTTTTCCCGTCATTTGACTTTCAAAGCATGATGTTTATTTTTATGAACTGAGATGTCTATTCAAACAACTAATTGAGAGAGGATATAGAATGAAGTGCTATTTCATGTTGGGTTTGAGATGTAGGTATTACTTATCGAATGTCACACTATATTCAGTGATATGTTGGCTGATAGAACTTCCTAGCTTATGTGATAGATAAGTTCAGCGCTTATCATATAAATGGATGCCTATTAGTATGGTGATACTATTCATCTTCTCATGGGCTAGTGAATGAGGTTTTTGAGTGCTTGGGGCCTAGACACACTACTGGTGATACTAATCACGTTCTTAATGTGTCAGCAGGTGAGGAGGCAGTCATATATCGAACTCGCAATATTCAGAAAAAGATGGAAGAAAGCTGTCAAGGAAGATGAATGTTGGACTGATCCGTACCCTCAAGCTGCAAAGGACAATATCATGGCCTAATGTCCAGCAATGCTCCTCTTGAGAAGAATTCTTTAGATTGATGGCTATACACAATGCAAAGAGGACCGAGGCTGCAGTCGATTATAGGCATTGAGAAGATAAGCCTCGTATCTTAAAGCATAGTTTATGCAGTGCCGGGGCTTCAAAGGTACCATGTACATCGTGCCGCTGCTCCTGTATATAATTGAATCCTCCTTTTCAATTGCAAGGTTGATGATTAGGTTGCGAGGTAAATGCTCTCTCTATACCTCGATATCATTCCTTTTGTTTGTCCGGTTGAGACCATCTTCGAGACTGCAGAGTGGCATAGACTATCAGGAAGCAATTTTTGTATGACTCTCACCGAGCGTACTCTTTCGTCAGACCACTGGCCAATGTTTCATAAAACATATAAAGAGGGTCCATAAAAGGTTGTACGCTTTCGGCCTATCTCGTACTATTTCATATGATCTGTTGACCGGTGCACATTATGACAAGCCATAATGAACTACAAGATCTTTACAGTTTGTAACTTCAGGAATTACCGCCGTTTCAGGCTTCTCTAGATTATCTTGTTGATTCGGAGTCGGAGGTAATCTGTGGCAAATGATTGCTCTTTCTTTTGGCCCTTTTTTACCCTGTTGCGGTGGGCACTTTCAGTGACACTGCTAATGATTTTTGTTGAGTTGCAATCATGAGGAGTGTCTGCCTAGCATTGCTCCAAATTCTGGGAATTGAATGATTGAAAATGACCTCCCACTGAATATTGCTTCATATTTAGGTCTCCACTTGCCCAAAATTACATCCTCTGTATCATAATTAGTACTGTGCAAGTGCAAGCTCCTCTAGTACAAGTCGAACACGACTATATCGACTCAATCTAATTGCACAGAGCCACAGCGTATCTTGTTTCAATATCGGGCAACAAAATTGGTCTTATAAAACGCATCTCTCTCATCCTTCTCCTATGAAGATAACAATGATAAACACTCATTGACATAAGTTGGTAAAAGAGAATTAATAGAGAAACAACAGAGGGATGGCTATTGCAGTTGAAGGACATTCTACTAGAAGACTGTAAAGTCTCACGGACAAAATCCAGAAGAAGCAAAGAGGCACATGGTCTGCTGCCCAGAAGTTTTTTTAAGAATAAAAAAGCAGAAAACTAAAAAAGATTCCACAGTACAGTTCTCAAGACAACACATTCAGAATGAGGGTGGATTTGTATGATGAGCCCCACAAGATTGAAAAAGAAATTTATCACTCCCAAAGCACACACAGCACAAGTGGACTGAATCACTTGTTGTCGAAGTGAGAGTTCTTAGATATATCCTCCTCTGAAGAATGAATAAACAAATGCCAAGTTATTAAATAAGGATAAGAAACCTGTTCCTAATGAAATCCTATTCCATCAATAGGGAAGCGAAGAATGCAGTTGAAGCTGAGGCAAGCCAAGCAAATGTCAATAGCAATAAAGCAGATATAGCTTGGCTTAATTGCCCCCAACTTCCACCCACTCCTTAATATATGGTTGGCCTCACCTACATTCATTAATTTCCCTCATCCATCTCATCTGCCAACTATTACAAACTCATCTCTCTCCCTCTCCCTCTTCCTTTAAGCCAAGGTGCCCCATTTGACCAAAGCATGGTGCCGGCCAGATCAGGACATGACCCATAAGAACCAGGCACGACATTCCCTTATATTAAAATCCTTAAACTTTGTCTCCATGACTGATGACTCCAAAAATTTTATTGTACCTAATCTGCTAGAGAAAAGACCAAGAAAGTGTTTTGTGAAATCACCCGCGATCGATTTACTTCATAAGCTAATAATAAGCCCATGAACGATTTACTTTCACCACGTGCCAAGATCTGTAGTGCTGCTCCACAAAGTACCATAGGAAGAAGAAGAAGAAGAAGACCTCTTGCTTCTGAGCAAGCTCTTCCTCTAATGACCATGCATGTATATGCAATACCAGAACGAAAAATTCGAACGTTAAACACCCACTGGTGCAAGGAAAAGGAGAGCACGACTCAGCTGGAGCGCAGCGCCGAAAGGGAGATCTGGAAAATACTCTTTTAGCTCAAAGTCAAACAACACGAGAAGCACATTGACTGGCCTCAACTATTATGTCTTAATAATAATGATGTACAGTCAGAAATGCAACTAAAGCGCTCTTCTTGCTTATCATCCGGGCAATGTCATCAACCAACAAAGATACTGAGAAAGAAATTTAATAGGAAAGAAGAAAAAATAAGATCTGATCACGCTTTAGTAATACAAAACTTCAGTGGAGCAGATTCAAGAACAATTATACTTCTCCTCCACCCACGGATGCAAGTCCCAATGTCGGGTCAGAGAGAGAGAGAGAGATCAAAGACATAAAAATAAGGACCCATTTGCTTGTACTAAGGACAACGTTCATAGGAATCCTAAACTGCCAAAGCTTTCACAGGCAAGGTCTTGCTATTTCCAGCAAAAACCACCTCCTCTTGCCAAATGACAATAAAAATAAACCCCAGCTACAAATAGCAAAACCCATCTGGAACTAGCGATTCCCTATGTGATGATAACAAATTACGACTTAAGTTACCTTATAAACAATTCTTCTTCCCTTTTTCTTTTCAAGAATCTAACACAGATATTCTTCCCCACTCACGCTCCCTAGCAGAAATAAAGCTTACCCCCTCCCCCCCCCCCCCCCCAAATTTTAATAAAGTAGAACAGATGAAGACAAAATATTATTTTCAGAGTAGGAAGTGGAGGAGGGGCTCAGAGATGGCATCCAAAGCAATTGCAGGTCTTGGGAGTGAAAGAACAGAAGCCAAAAGGGCGGTTTGGGATGTTGCAATTGATGGCATAGCAACATGGAGATGGCAAGCACACCCCTCTTGCTCCACCACAGCAAGTGCACAGTGCACATATCTGGAAGCTCCCCAATCTCCTCCTTGTCTCATTCAACTCCACCATCTCAAATTTGCCTTGCTCCACCAATGGCACCATCTCTTCCTCTGCTGGCGACTCGTTTGCCTACCAAGAACATTCAAACCAGTGATTACCCAGATGAAAAAAATCACAACTTTGGGAAGGAAAATGAAGGGATCTAGGATTTCTGGAGCTAAATTGCGGATAGCAACAGAAAGAGGGAGAGGCACTCACATGGAGTAAAGCTGCTTGATTTGGAGGGATGCAACTGGCAAAGGCGAAGAAGAGGGCAAGAAAGAGAGACAACAGAATCCCATGAGTAGACATAACTTGTTTTTCAGTTTCAGGGGTTGGCTTTGATGGCTGGGTTGTGTGGAAGGGAGAAGTGGGTTTTCCAATCTGAGTAACGAAAAGAGTTTTTCGGCGTTGGCTAGTGCATAAAAATGCTTTGCTTCTTGCTTGCTAATGGTTTTTGGGATCCTTAAACGGTGCTGAATTGTTATAGGGCCTCTTGAAAGTTTTAGAAAGTGGAGAGGTGTTGAAATTGGGTTTGGTAGAAGGGGATAGAGAGAAGGGTTTCCTCAGTACTTTGCCACTCAGTTTCTCACAGAAGTTAAGGAGAGAGTGATGCAGCTGGTGTTGCGAAGTAATACTGTTTCCCACACCGTCCCACTCCTAGTCCTAGTTGTGAGAGGCCCACTGGTGAGCACACACTCACACCCATTTTAGCTACTTCAGGATTGGCAATATGGCCACGTGTATCAATCGGGGCCCTTCATGGATATGATTCTTTTGATCTTAGGTCCATCTTTGATGGAAGACATGGTGCTGCTCTGTTCATACCAATACTTCACTCTTTTTACCCTCGTTTCTTTTTTTATATATTTCTTGCTAAGCTGTCCGTACTTCACCTGTCAACATCATTGATTTTCTCTCAAATGTTTGGTTTGCTGCCAAAACAATTTCTTGTTTTTTCTCTTGCTTCCTTTTTCCCCCCTCTGCGGTGTGTGAGCAGTGCTAAGGATCTTTGAGCTGTCACTTGGACAGTTGGACTTGGACAGTGGAGGGCTGAAATTGTTGACTGCCGCTCATCAAGTAAAAGACCGGGTCAACCTGTCGAAATAAACTACTGTTGAAATCTTTCAAAAAAGTTTTGCGAAATCTTTAAAATAAGTTTTGCTCTTTTCTACCCCAACTGGAGATCTCCCCAATTTTATGCAGATCAACAACACGAAAGCAGAATGTGAATGCCTTTCCACCATACTATTATTTACAAAGATTTCATATGTCACAGTCCCGAAATTTGTGAGGCTCGATATATAGAGAAATGATCCGAGGGAACGAAATAAGCCTTGAACTAATAAAGACCTAAGATTTCTTGAAAATGTATATTTGTATTCAAGATATATTTTGTATTTAATGGGTAAACAGTAGTCTTATATTTAATAGGATGGACAATAATTAGGAAGAATAGATGTCTACCATTTGATTAAGGGGCGATCAACGATAGTAATTGGAAGATTGAGCAATAAAAATACATTCTCTCCCAAATTTTCTCTTTCTACAGTCTGGGTGAATTAGTAGCCGAGCAATCAATCCTAGGGAAAAAAGCTTAACTTACGTGACCCAATGAACCAAATGAAGCCTAAGAAGTCGCACGACCTCGATCTCGAGCATCGGGCCGTGACAAGTGGTATCAGAGCTCGAGTTGAAGAGAGTTTGTTCAAAAAGATCAAAAAGCATATTAAGTGGTCAAAAGAATGTCGAACCAACGAGTTGCCGCTATTGTTGTTGTTGGTAAGGCTCCCCAAGAGAAGGAGACCCACGGTAGAGCCAAGAAGAGGGCTCCCTCGACGGACTTCGTCATGTTGGCCCTCGAAAAAAGGGTTCCCTAGAATGAAGGCCACCATGGTGAAATTAGTGAAGGACTCAAAGAGGTGAAACAAAAGGGTGAGTTCGTTTCGCAGAAAATAAATGATTTGAAAAATATTTTCCGAAAAATGATCGCTTATATCGTTTAGAAAAATAAATGAATGGAAAATTTTTTCATCATCCATGAAAATAGTTACACATAGATTATTATTTATAATGAAAATATTTTTCGTTGACTAATTTTTCTAAATAATATAAGCAATTATTTTTTGGAAAATGTTTTCTAAATCACTTATTTTCCGCAAAATGAACAAACCCAAATAATCGATAAGGTCAAAGAGATGCTACACCTCAAATTCATGACCATCGCGAACAAATTCATGGCCCCCTTGCACTTGAAGGACAAGGCATTGAAGATAGAAATCCTAGGGCTTAATTAGGACAATTTCCACGAAGTCGAGGTTAAAGCTTTGAAGTTGGAGGTCTAAGAGCTCAAGACCCAACTAGTCTTGTGTAAGACTAGTATTGCATATGTACCAAACTCATTCAAGTAGCGCACAAGGTGGATGTGCCAAAGCCCTAGGAGTTCAAGGGCAAGTAGTCCGCTAAAGAAGGGGACAACTTCATTTGGAGTAATAGAAGAATACTTTGACGCCGTTAGCATTCAAGACGAATTGGCCAAGGTAAAAAAAGCATTTTATGTCCCTACTTGATGATGCCTTGCTTTGGTGCCGAAATAGGTGTGATGAGACCAAGAGAGATGCCGATCCCATCAACACGTGGGATGATTTTGTGAAAGAATTTCAGGATTACTTTTTCCCTGAGTTCGCCCAAAAAAAAAAGCATCTAGCAAACTTCACACACTTGAACAAAAGGGCACAGTCCGGGAGTACGTGAAGGAGTTCACCAAACTCAAACACCAAATTCCCAACTTAAGGGAGGAGGAAGCTCTTGGCGCATTCATGGATGGTTTGAGGCCTTGGGCCCAACTCGAACTCAAAAGACGGGATGTCTGAAGTATCTCAAAGGCACTAAACGTAGCCGAGTCTCTTGCCAACTTCACCAATCAGGAATCTCCCAAGTCCAAAGGGAAAGGATGGAGAATGGATTGCCACCACGATGAGGACAGGGAAGGCGAAGTTACCTGTGGTCGAAGAGATTGACGGGGAAGATCACGAGGAGAAGGCCCTTCCAAACTATCCAACCAAAAGTGGAACCGACCCCAAGGTGACTCCCACAAAGAAAGGGAGAAGAGGCCACCACCATCACCTTGCTTCTTTTGCAACGGTTTCCATTGGTCCCAAGATTGTTCAAAGAGGAACAAACTCGCGGCATTTCTCACCATGGAGGGAGAGGAACAAGCAAAGCAAGAAAAGAGAGAAGTGTGGCTCAAAACCACAAAGATTCTTAACTTCGTAAACACTCAAACACCGTTCGTAAGCCTCCGAGTACAAGTTTTCCATTTGTGGAAGTCAAAGTTAATAGCACAAAACTCTATGCCTTGATGGACACAGGTGCGTTAATACATGTTCTTGTCGAGTGAAGCAGCAAAAAATTTGGGACTTCGAGCAGAACCTACTAGGACATCAGTTTAAGGCAGTCAACTTGGATGATATACCGGCCATTGGCATTGCTCGGAATGTGGAACTACACATCGGTGATAGGAAAGGCAAATTCCTTATCGAGGTAATACTGCTTGATGAATATGATCTTATTTTGGGTTTGTAATTCTCCATAATCGACATGAGAACCAAGTCAATTATTATCTCCGACCAAAAATGCCCATCGGTGGTATGGATGATCTTTGGTTGACGGAGATCAAAAGGATCTCCACTATCCGACTCGTGTATGAAGGTCGAGAGTTGAGGAGCTTGTAATCGAGTTGACAGCGAAGCCACAATTTTTGGAGGGACTGAAGGTGGAGTTGAGGCGACCTATGCCAACTCAAACTCAAAGTGAGATGTCGATCCATTTGCATTTTCCAAGAAATGGAATACTTGCTGAGTAACTTGGAAAAGGCAAGAAGGAATTGCTTTGTGGAACGAGTTGGGATTCAAGAGCCGTATAGCTGACAAATCAAGAAGAAAAAGACCAAGTGCATCGGAAACAAAAGAATCGCCAACCTTTGAAGAAACCAACAATCCAAGAGAAGGATGCGATTGGGCAAGCAAAAGACTCCGAGTTGAGAGCATAGAGGGCGTCACTCGATTGGGTGAGGGCGAATATGACAGTCTTGAGCCTTCCAAAGCTCGATGTACCAAGAAATTATCCGAGGGAACGGAATAAGCTCAGTAGTTGGGAAGAATATATCTCCACCGTTTGATCAAGGGGCGATTAGCGATAGTAATTGGAAGAGCTTGTGTATAAATAGAGGTGCTCTTCTTATCATTTGCATCATCTAACATTTGACTAATAGAAATATATTTTCTCCTACAATTTCTCTCTCTAAACACTTTCTCTATCTACCATCCAGGTGGGTTAGTACTTAAGTGATCGATCTTTGAAAAAAAAACGCTTAGCTTAGGCGATCCAACGAACCAAAGAAAGCCTACGCTGCTGCACGGTCTTGAGCTCAAGCGTTGGCTCGTGACACGTTCATATTTTATCAGGATAGGTGATTTTCATGGTGAGACAGCTTTTTTAACAAGTAATCCTGATTTGGGTACATTCTATTCTACTAAAGCGTGGATTTAGAAAATGGAAGCAATATAGGGCATCGAATGGGAACATGAATTACACTGAGTTGAAGTCGGACGCGAGTTTTGCCGTGTGAGTCGCAATGAATTTACAGTCGCAACGCAAAATAAAACCCAAGTTTGAACCTGGAAGCTGAGTATGTCATTGAAATGACTATATAAATGCATCGTGGTTCGAGTCATGCCGAAGTAGCTGAAAAGGAAACGGATTTCGTCCATCTGCACTGGTCCAACACACTTCTAAGAGGAGCTGATAAATTGCTTTGAGACAGAAACAGAAATGAATGGAAGCAGATGATGAATTTCCTAAAACTGGTAGATGAGTCAATGGCACAATAGCAGATGATGCACATTCTTCTCAGTTACAACATGCTTATGCCACTAAGCTGTCAAACTTTTGTCAACCTGAACTTTTCTCTGTAAACTATAGAAAAACCCAGGGACAGCACTCTTTCGTGCGGCTAAAGATGGCCGAGCATATTGAAGTTTTAGGTAGCGAATGATAACCATTCCGTTCCGGAATGAGTTCCTGAACCAGAAATAGATTTTTCTATTTCTGGTTCCTGGATGAGTTTTTGAGAAAAAAAACCCGTTTGATAATGACAAAAAATTTCTATTTCTAGAACAGAAATCCGTTTGATAACAGCACAAAATTTCTATTTCCTGAAATAAAAACCCGTTTGATAAACAACAGAAAATTCTATTTCCAGGAACAAAAATCCATTTTTTTAGAAATGGAATAAAAAATCCGAAAAATTCACAAAAATCTTTAAAAAAATTCAGAAAATCCCAAAAAATTGAAAAATTCCAGAAAAAATCATCAAAATGTCGAGAAAATAAAAAAAAATTAGATTTCGGGAAAATAGGAAATTTGTTGAATTTTTTCAAAAAAAATCAAGAAATCAAAAATTTCAAAACTTCACAGAATTGCTTAGAATACCTATGGCCACCCACTTTTAGTGAAATTTAAATTTTTTTAGGTGCCCAAAAAAAATCAAAAAATCAAAAATTTCAAAACTTCACAGAATAGTTTAGAATACATGTGGCCACCCACTTTGAGTGAAATTTAAATTTTTTAAGGTGCCCAAAAAAATTCAAAAACTCAAAAATTTCAAAACTTTCTGGAATGGCTTAGAATATCGTGGCCACCCACTTTGAGTGAAATTTTAATTTTTGGAGGTGAAAAAAAAGCAAAAAATAAAAAATTTCAAAACTTCACAGAATGACTTAGAATACATGTGGCCATCCACTTTGAGTGAAATTTAAATTTTTTTAGGTGAAAAAAAACATAAAAAATCAAAAATTTCAAAACTTCACAGAATGACTTACAATACCTCTAGCCACCCACTTTGAGTAAAATTTAATTTTTTTTAGATGCCCAAATGGTATTTTTGATTTTATTTTTGATTTTTTTTGGTTCCTAAAGAAAATTAAATTTCACTCAAAGTGGATGGCCACATGTATTCTAAGCCACTCTGTGAAGTTTTGAAAATTTTTCTTTTTTGCTTATTTTTATTTTTTTTTCGACACCTAAAAAAAATTAAATTTCACTCAAAGTGGGTGGCCACAGGTATTCTAAGCAATTATGTGAAGTTTTTTATTTTTTTCGGCACCTAAAAAAATTTAAATTTCGCTTAAAGTGGATGGCCACAGGTATTCTAAGCCATTTTGTGAAGTTTTGAAATTTTTTATTTTTTTATTTTTTTCGGCACCTAAAAAAATAAAATTTCGCTCAAAGTGGGTGGCCACAGGTATTTTAAGCCATTCTGTAAAGTTTTGAAATTTTTACTTTTTTGCTTATTTTTATTTTTTTTTGGCATATAAAAAAATTTAAATTTCACTCAAAGTGGGTGGCCACAGGTATTTTAAGCTATTCTGTGAAGTTTTGAAATTTTTTATTTTTTTTTAATTTTTTTGGCACCTAAAAAAATTTAAATTTCACTCAAAGTGGATGGCCACAAGTATTCTAAGCCATTCTGTGAAGTTTTGAAATTTTTGATTTTTTGCTTTTTTTTTATTTTTTTCGGCACCTAAAAAAATAAAATTTCGCTCAAATTGGGTGGCCACAGGTATTCTAAGATATTCTGTGAAGTTTTTAAATTTTAGAATTTTTTATTTTATTTTTGGCAACTAAAAAAATTAAATTTTGCTCAAAGTGGGTGGCCATAGTTTTTCTAAGCCATTTTGTGAAATTTTGAAATTTTTTATTTTTATTTATTTATTTTTATTTTTTTCGGTACCTAAAAAAATTTAAATTTTACTAAAAGTGGGTAGCCACAGATTCTAAACCATTCTGTTAAGTTTTGAAATTTTTGATTTTTTGCTTTTTTTTCTCACCTCAAAGATCGTGACTTCCATATGAATATGTGTGCCGAAGAAAATGAATTCCTCTGAAATGGTTCTCACTTTTGTTCCAGAAATGAAAAATCAACTTTTTTTTTGTTCTCATTTCTGGTTTCAGAATCAGTTTTGGAAGCAAACTTGTCCCGGAAATAGAAAAATGAAATTGCATTACCAAACGGGTTTCTGGTCCAAAACTGATTCTGGAAACAAAAAACCAGTTCTGGACAGAACCAGAACGGTTTTCACGCGGCACCTTAGTTCTTTTTGATCTAGCCTGCTGAACGGTCGAGATAGATATTGGCCCTTTTAAGCTTTACAGTCACATCCATGTCAGAAAAACTTCAGATGGTCAAGAAACTTTATTGGACAGCTGTGGCAAAGCAATAATCCGCACTCAAATCATGGAGTCATTTTCTTTCACGATTTGAACCACGTCTTAGATCGAGCTCGTTTAACCCTTTTACGTCGCCATGCATGGATTACAACAGTACCAAATTACGCCATCTCTTTCTACTCTATCGAATCGAAAAATTTGATGGCAACTCCCGCACTACCTATTTAACCTTTCGAAAAATCCCATATCATATTTTACAATCGAGACGCTCTTGAATACTAAGTTCAGTTTGGTCTCGAGAGAACTAAAAGACACAAAAATAATTCATTCGTCCTAAAGTAAACAGGTTTTTTTTTTTTAACCTTTTTGTGCCCAAAATCTTTCCCTTGTTAAAAAAAACAAAGGGAGATCCAGAAGGTCAAACCTTCTCGGGCGGTGAAGTGAAACTGAAGATCCAATTTTTCGCGTTGATACTACGAAGCTTCGCCTTTTTCACTGCTTTTGGAGAGATCTCCGCTCGATCTCTCTCCCTTTCCCTCTCTCTCTCTCTCTCTCTCTCTCTCTCGACGCGAGGAGAAATGCAGATCGTGCCCAGATCTGAGCTCGTCGAATTCGTGCCCGCGTCGCTCTAGCGCAGATTCGAGAGATACCCAGAAGGAAAAATCCCTCCTTTTCGTCTGGGCTGCATCGGAGAGAGCGATCGGGACAATGGGTCCGTCCCCGATCAGGATTCGCGCCGTCTTTCCTGGTCTCTTGGTCTTTGTAGCTCTCGCCCTCTTGGCTGTCGCTCCGATCGCTTCTGCCCAGGTGTCAAAAGCTTCTTCTTTTTCGCTCGTCGGCGTGTTCGTGTATGTGGGTGTGCGTGTGCGTGTTTGTGTGTGCGGTGCTGATGCACTGCGTTGCGCGTGTTGATTAGGATACTCTTGCTGGAACTGAGAGGGGAGATGATAGGGAGTCGATCGTCAGGGATCTGGGCCGGCGCAGCAAGGTGAGTTGACTTTTTCCATCTGCCTGGGCTAGTTAAGTTGAGTAACAGAGGAAATTGTGGAGTTTTCTTTAGCTTTGGGTGGTCTTTTGACTGCGAAATTTCTAGTTCCATCGGCATAAGTTTCACATACGAATTGGGGAAAAAAGGGGTTTCTCTGGCATTGGCTTGAATTTGATCTTTGATGCTTTTAGCTAGCTGAGCCCGCTTAGAAAGAATCGGCTCGGTGATTGTTGTTCTGTTCATACTGATTTCTATTTTTGAAGAGCAATCTGCATGGGCATCTGAAAGGTTAGAGTACTTACGAGATGAAAATCTTGGTGCAGATTATCCTCAACAAGCTGGGTAATGGTGCTGCTGAGGATGGCGCCTCTGTTGGGATAAGTATTGGTTTGGATGGTCCTGGTCTTGGAATTTTTGATGCATTCTTTGCGAGTCTGTCGATGATCCTCGTCAGTGAGGTTTGCCTGCTTTTATCACATTGCTGCACATATCGTATTTCTTGAGCTGGTTTTTCCGTTAATTGGCTTTACAGTTGTCTTTACTTATGTTTTCTCACGCTGCTAGATCGGAGACGAGACCTTTATAATAGCAGCTTTGATGGCAATGCGCCACCCAAAGTCAATTGTGTTGTCTGGCGCTCTCACGGCATTGATTGTAATGACAGTAAGTAAGCTCCTGCTTTTATTTGCGTTTCATGATTGAACTTTGCCTTTACTGTCTTGTCCTCGTGCTTTGCGTGGTTCTGATATTTCTTGGTTTGCACAATGGCTCCGCAAACTCTAAAGATTGGCATGTGGTTATGTCTTCTGAGGGTCTCGTCTATAAGTAATTGCTGCAAATGTTGCTTAGGTGCTTTCCACTGGACTTGGTAGAGTTGTCCCAAATCTGATATCGAGGAAGCATACAAATAGTGCAGCCACAGGTACACATTTTCTAGTTTACCATGTTACTTTTTTAATTGGGAATGTATTTAAGATGTGCACTAGGCTTTCTGGGCAGTCCTCTAATGGCAGGTTCATATAACGAGGTTTCTTTGCAAGTTTGCCTTTCTTCTAGGCGCTTTAGGTACATGTAATCTTTCTTAGGAAAATCTATGGGTTTTAAAAGTCAAGGTTGAAACATTTTGAAGAAAATGTTACAGTGTTACTTTTGGCTCGTCTTTCTGATGAGTTCACATGGGAAGAGGGTTTTATTAGCATCTATCTGAAAACTGTAGGATTTTTTAGATGAGTTTCGTTCTTCATTGTTTCATTCCTGATATACTACTAGTTCCTTCTGTTTTATTTGACTTCTCAGCCAATAATATTGTGATAGTGAGTAGGATTTTGGTCATTGACTATATCCATGGCACAGCTTGCCATCCATGCGTTATTGCTCGATAGACATGTTCAAGAATGATGCACTTAGATCATTGATGTAAATCTGTATTTTCCTATTTGGATCACGATAGGGATATCTTTCCACTGTTCCTGTTAGGGATTTTGATAGGTTATATTTCGCGAGAAAAGCATATTTTGGAAGCCAGTTGTTTGATGAATTTATATTCTCTTTCTTGTCAGTTCTATACCTATTTTTTGGGTTGCGGTTACTTTATATAGCATGGAGGTCAGATTCAAAGTCATCTCAAAAGAAAGAAATGGAGGAGGTATGTTTTAATTCGTCTTTCCGAAACTATGTTGTTCCTCTAGAATCCAATTTGTCTAGTCTGTGGCCTTTTCTTTCTTTGTATTCGGAAAGTTTGTGTCAATTTCAATAGAGACCTGCCATATGGTTGGTAGAAATCAAACTGCTTGGAGTGATTTTTCTTTGTGATATTGATGGCCTTGCATGGAGCCATTATTGATGACCAGAATTTGTTGCCATGAAGCAGACTTTGGATAGACTGCGTACTTTGGTGCTTTTAGGGACTGTCTATATTACTGTGCATTTTTATTTTGGCCAACTATTTGCAATGTGTTAAGTATTTTCAATGTCCAGTAGCTGCACATGCAATGCTTGTGGTCCTTCCTTTTTGAATGTAAATGCTGAAGCATTTAGGAATTAGGTGCTTTGACTGTAACCATTTGAGAACTTTATGGATTCCATATTTGACATATGCAGGTAGAAGAGAAACTAGAGACCGGACAAGGGAAAACAACCTTCCGCCGTTTCTTTTCAAGATTTTGTACGCCCATCTTTCTAGAGGTGTGCCTTTTATATAGGTTTTTATTTGGACTATCTATTGCATCTGGTTTCTACTAAGATCTGATTATATTTGTATACTGTTGTGACATTCGAGTTTTCTAGCTTGTTGTACAGAAGTTTTTTCCAATTCTTATACAATTCCTGCAACTAACAACATTGTTTCTCCTATACAGTCCTTTATTTTGACCTTCTTGGCAGAATGGGGAGATCGTAGCCAAATTGCTACAATCGCTGTAAGATTCTTCCCTTTGCTATAGTCTTCCTACTCTGTGGGCCTGTATTGTGAACTGCTTTGTGAATTTCTTGATTTTGCTCTCTTTCGTTGGAATCTCTTGGGAAACTTTCTGGGTTCATTAAAAACCTTGGTTTTGATTTGGTTTCAGTGATTCTTAGTTTACCCTTTTCTTTGCTGGCAAGCTATTGTTTTCTAGACATGTCTAAGCAATGGATATTCTTGTCTTTTCCTGTTATCTCACCTTGATATTCTTAGTTTACGTTTGTTTGCCTCATTATGGTATGTAAGTTGTCCTCATATGTGGTATATTGAATCTTTTATGTTGAGCTATTGGTTGACAAAAAGAGTGAGCTCTGTTGTCACGATGTTTGCTTGATCAGCAGTAGGATTAACACACAAGTCTTAGCTGCTTTGTACTTTATATGTTAGAATCTTTTGGGCACATGGTTATTCATCCTGCATGCATTTCTTCGGATATCTGAATTATTCACCATTTTATGTTTATTTGAATTCTAGTGGGGTGTTGAGTAATTTTGATATCTTGCAGCTAGCAACACACAAGAATGCCGTTGGAGTGGCTGTTGGGGCGACAATAGGACACACCATATGTACATCGGTTGCAGTGGTGGGTGGAAGCATGTTAGCATCCAAGATCTCACAGCGGACAGTTGCTACCGTTGGTGGCCTTCTCTTTCTTTGTTTTTCTTTGTCTTCATATTTTTACCCTCCCTTATAGGTAATATTGTAGGCTAACATGATTCTTTATGAGCTCTGAAAAACCCGTGCTTCCTCTTTCTCTTCACGAAAGTTGATATTAACTGCTGATAATTAGACCTTTTCAGTGATCTTTTGTAAAATGTTGGCGCGTGTTAAAAGTCTTCTGGTTTTTTTTCTCCTCCTTTCTCTATCTTGAATGTACTTTCTGCGGCTTATCAATGACCTTTTCAAAATCCAATAAAATTTTTGGCTTGAGTCAAACATGTTCCTCTGAGAACTTGATTCATCTCAAGTTGATTGTAACTGAGAAACTTGTTTTATGTTCTGCTTGGAAGTCTAATTCCACTGGAAGTCAATGCATCTATAGTTGAGTAGCCATTGAAGCTGTGTAAAAACAATCACCTGATGGATTACAAATCGCACTCATTGGATTAAGAGCTCAAAGTGAATGATGTGAAAAGTGACTATTTGGAGCAGAGTCACTCAATTTACATGAAAAATGTCATATAAGTCTTGTGTTTTCAATTACAATTCACAATGACATTCTTCATTTTAACATCGTTCGATGTATTTTGGGCATAATTTGCCTCGGGACGTAAAAATGTGAGAGTTTCGCCAACAGACCGGGATAAGAAGGTAATGGTAAGATAAAGAATTGCAATGGTTGCAATGGCAATGGTATTCCGACTGGATTATTCAGTTGAATTTCAGCCAATTTCATAGTCTGTTTTGCGAAAAATGTACGTGCTTCCTTTTTCTGAGTGTAGTCAATTCTGAGTAAGCAAGAAGTTTTACTGATAAATTTAGGAAAGCAGGAATGGCCTTCTGCAAACAGTATCAAACTACATAAGTTGTGAAAAGATAATTATAGGAAATGCTCTCTCTATTTTTCGGAAGTTTGACACATTTAAGAAAGTTAATCAGTGAAGTGTTCCCTTGGGTTTTCATAGTAATTAAATATCTTTTGTGGAGACGGAAAATTCTCTTAGACCGTGCGTTTCACATAACATATGGAACTTACGGAGTCTTGCAATCAGTTGGTTTGAGTGTCAACTGATTCTAATGGAACGATGGATGATTGCTCTCCCGCCAAGAAGATGGAGTATTTGCTACTCAAAAGGGCTAACTGAGCACTCCCCACGAAGTAGTATTGTGCACCTCTATATCCACATTCCTCAACTACCACTGTCGTAGTATAAAGTAGATATAGTTATGTGACAGCAACCTGCTAAAGCTCGTCATTGTCTTCTAATTAGTAATCATCAATTGTCGTTGTTCTCGTTATTGTTACGTCTTTGGTGAGTCGATCTACGTAAGACAGGAATGAGACAAGAAAATGACGTTCGAGCAGACAAACTATCAACAGAAAGAAGGCCATAATCAATCTGTCTATGCAAGTATCTGTCTTACATAACAAATGCACAAGGCTTATATGTCCCATGGTGCTTTCATTGGCTCCTTCAAGATCAAGCAATGGCCGGATATTGCGTGTCTTCTCTACCAGCACCCAACTAGGAGTTCAAAAGATTGATGAGTATCTGTCGTGAGATGTGTAGAGTCCACATCAAGAAAAATGGTGGGTTTGGCTTATTCCACAAGTGAGGTTAGTGAAAGGTGGGAACCCACTTCGCACTCTTGAACATGCAGAGTTCCCCACCAAACCAAAAAGATAAAAAGTTTTAACAGAATTTGGAATGAGTAGGTTGTACTTTAGCCACTTGAAAAGACTGATTTTGGGTGATTAACATGTACGTGGGGGTTGGATTGGAGTGTTCCTCCATGTCGATTACTTGTTAATGTGTACCCATCTGTAAGATTTTTACTAAACAACAGCAACACTAACAACGCCTTGTCCACAAGTATCCATCATTCTGGGAGGCTGACCAGCAATTTTTCTTTTAGCCCTCTCCCTACCAAACGCCCAACTGATATAAGTATCGTCTCTTTCTGTGTATCTCGTGTTATTGTATTATCCAGAGATGCGCCCTCGGCAATCGGCATTGCGTATTGTTTCCTCTTCCAAGGCCGACATCTCTCTCTGAGAGAGGCATATTCTTCCTCTTCTTTTGTCAGGCGATTCGTTAAGAAATGAGAGACAGAATGGAAAGGTTTGTCCTCCTTCCATTTGCTGTCGGCTGTATGTCTGAATCAAGTGTCGCCATAGCTACCCAGAATCGTCAGCGATCGAAGAATGTCGACTCCCCACCATTAAGTCTCTCTCTCTCTCTCGCGCGCGCATGCCCACATATACTTTGAATGCACACACAAAATGCATTTGCACATAGCACTGGACACAGCACACGGGCACGCACAAATGTGTCAAATTCAAATCTCCCCTTCATCATTTGCGCGTTTAGTAACGTTCAGGCTCAAATTGTGAAGGGACTGATCAGGAAGCGACAGATCGAGACCAGGAGGAAGAAGGGAGCTTGTCGGATGAAAGTACGAAAAGCTCCTTCAGCTTGATGGCTCTTCCGAAGCCCAACATATCGACCGGCATTCAAAGGCTAATCAAAGGCTTCAGAAGCATCTCTCACTTATTCGGTACATAGTACGCTTGTCACCCGTGCATCGGCATTGTAAACTTTTCTCAAATACGAAGTTACTTGTTTGTTCAATGTGTTATTGCTAGAGAGACATGGAAAAAAGTCTAATGAAGTAAATTCACTAGACAAAGATCATCTGAAAATATAGTTGGCCCTGTCATTGACATGCTGACATTTTAAGCAGCACCACTTCCAAAAACATCTAGGGCCAAGTTCTATGAAAGTTTGATCATCTTACTCTATATTTCTGAGCACGATTTCTTGTCGTAAGAACCATTTGATGTTTTCAGTGTATAAGGAGGAGGACATGGAAGAGGAGGAGATGGAGATAGAAATAGGACTCCCAACAAATGTGAAGCATGTGACCCACATTGGATGGGATGGATGTGCAGCCCTCAACCCCATCAAGGGCTGGGAATGTCTCGTCCCTCCCGATCACAAGCCGCTCCACCCTCCCGACGAGCAAGATCAGCTGTTTCCCTCGTCTGCCGATGCTTCTTTAGCACAGTCTGAGCATTCCAGATCGATTGCATAGGCGAGAACTGCTCCTCTTTGCGTGGATGATACTGATGAATTATGTTTGGTGTCAATTCAAACCTTTCTCCGTATTTAATTTGTATAAAGTGAAAACTGTATCCCAGATAAAGCTTGAATCATAGGTAAAATATGATGTATAGCATTACCATTGGTTTGGTGAACTGAGAAGCTTCTTATTCCGGATCTCGTCTAAATTCACGGAGTTCACTTGACATGGCTTGATTATGCAGTAATCAAGTAGAATTTCACAGAATTCCGGGTAGTTACATCTGTTAATTACCAACGAACAGATACAATGTTTTGACACGGAATAATAAGTAAATGGTGAATTCTGTAGGAAGTCGCCGGGCAAGTAGGATGAGAAAGATTTTATCGATCGACAGCAAATCGATCCATCGATCAATAGCAGCACACATGCAGCAAGATGTTGCTGTGAATGGTTAGAGGAGTTTCATATTAGGCTTGGTGTGTCTGACCAAGATGAGGATCTTTAAGCCGTCCATCTCTAGTTGTGAAGTTTTCAAAACAAGTGACCCAAATCCATATCAGTCCTGCTTGATGAACCAGATCGATACCTCTCAGCTTGTTAGTTTTATCATTTGGTTTCCCTTTGGCAGAAACAAAAAGCAACAGATACACTGTGGAATTCATTCGGTTGGACATCCTTGTCTCAAATCAAACTCAATCAATATGTACTGTTCTTCGTGAGCTTCACATGAAAATTTACTATTGCGCTCGGCGAATCAATTCCACCGGCGGCGACCGTGCTTCCGGCCATCGACGCTTCTCGATAACCCTTTAACTCTACCAATATCAACCCTCATCTCTCTCTCTCTCTCATCCTAAAATAGCGAACCGCCGGAAAGAAAAGTCTAATCGTAACCACGTCATCTGTTTTCATCCCCGAGCGACCGACATCACCCCCGAGACCCATCACGTGCTCACACGCTCGTGCCACCCCCGGTCCCCCCCCTCCTAACCCCGCACGGCCCCGCCGGGTTCCCCCCGAGACCCGACCCGACCCGACCCGGTTAAAGGGGAAAAAAAAACGGGTGAGGATTCGAAAAGCAGGCTTTTGACTAGGGCTGAGGGCTTTAAAGCCCATTTATGGTACACCTAGCCGCATATTGATCAACCTCTTTTAGCACCCACCATGGATAAGAAGAGACCCTTCTCCCTCTTCCTATATATATATATATGCAGACTCTCTCTCTTTGCGCGTCAATCTCTCTCTCTCTCTCTCTCTCTCTCTATATCATTGCGATTGCCCAAATTCGTCAAATTAGGGTTTTGTCTTGTGCCCCGCCATCGATCGCCAATGACCGGCAAGGCGAAGCCGAAGAAGCACACGGCCAAGGAGATCGCGGCCAAGGTCGACGCCGCCACCACCAACCGGGGCGGCGGCAAGGCCGGGCTGGCGGACAGGTCGGGGGTGGAGAAGGGCGGCCACGCCAAGTACGAGTGCCCCAACTGCAAGACCACCGCCCCGGACCTCAAGTCCATGCAGATCCACCACGACGCCCGCCACCCCAAGATCCCCTTCGACGAGTCCAAGCTCATCAACCTCCACGCCACCATCGGCGACTCCTCCAAGGGCCGCCCCGGCGTCCGAGGTAGTCACAAGAAGTGATCGGAGCGAGCTCGCCCGAGGGGGTGGGTGACGGCGGCTCCTCCGCCGAGCGCCGCCTCCCCCCCGCCGGTCACGTGCTCCTCCTCCGTCTTTTATCGTTAGTCTTGGTGTCGGATTCGATGGTGTAATGGTAGCTCGATGAGGGAAGCTTGTGGGTGGGTGGGTTGGGTTGGGTAGGGTGTGGGGGAAGGTGGAGGGGGAGGGGGAGAAAGGGGGGGGGGTTTGATGGGTCCGTCTTTTGAACGCTGTCTTCTTTGGCTAAGTTTGATGTATATTGTATGTCTCTCGGACTATGATGTCTTAGAATTCGCCTATCATCAATGATCGAGATGGACTTTCCTTGTCTTAGTTGTTACATCCTTATATGCTGTCGACGATGTCCTTCCGAATTCTGTTTATTGATCTGTGGTGATCTGATACTATGTGGGTGTGTGTGTTGTGGCTTATTTTCATTCTGAAAAGTGGGTTGCGGGTACTGTTAGATTCGATGCGATTGTTCAGCGTCGATAGTCTCGTGTTATCTAAATTAAAGATGGCCGATCCGTCGAGAAAGTGTTTCGAGTAAGAGTAATACCAGATGACGAGTGGAAATATAATTGATCGAGTGATGGAGTGATGGGGTTAAAGTTAATACCGGATGAACTCTTTTACAGATAATCAATCAAGTGATGGCGTTATTTGAATTGGTATCGTTTACTGCTGTTACTGCTTAGAAACTGCATCAATTTGCCGACTTGATCACTAGTAGATACTATGCCAACACTAGATGTTGCTTGAATATGTACTCCTTATGTGTGGGCTAGATGAATGAGGACCAGGATTTTTGTTCTTGTAAGTTGGTAGCCATGTGTATATTACGAGGGAACCGGAAAAATCTCTCATCCTGCATGCAATCTTTTCTTTTTGCTGTCTTATATGTCTTCCTTAATTGAACTTTGATGCTAGGACGTAGCTGTCATCAACTGATTTGTAGATTCAACTTCTTCTTGCACGTCTTGGAGTGGATTGACCTTGAGCTCTATATCATACGAGGAATATGTTCTGCTTGATCCTCTGTTTTCCCTATGTGGAGACGATCAAGATGCAGTTTGATGGTCTTCCTAGCTTAAGTCTGATCCTTACACGTAGTGTTGTGAAGGCTGGCCGGTGGTATTTATCTGTGCTAGGGTGATAGCGGAGTGATAATGGGGAAAATGCACTGGCCTGTTCTTGAGTGTGGCGGCAGTAAGCGAGTCATAGTTTTAGTTTGGTTGTCGATTTTTTGCTACCTGTCAATTGACGAGGTTGATGAATATGCTTGTGACATGCATGGCAAAGGGGAAAAATTTATATTACCTAAATATGAAGTCTTGATATGTGAAATGTTTTCAGATGTGGAAACAGTGGTTGATCTTGAGGTTCTCACAGGCTACTAGCGGTCCTTAAGAAAGGCGAAAGTTTAAAAATCACACCATTGAGAAGTTATCTATCTTTGTATGGATCTTTCACTCTGTCTGCATTGTTATGAGCTGATCACAGCGAATTCACAATCAATACCAAGATGAAGGATCTAAGCAAAAAGCTTAAATGCAGTGGCATTGTTATGAACTGATCACTTTTTTCTACTGTTTGGCTTTTCTCTCCCTCATGTACTGGGAATTCTCGGCTGAGTTGTGTGGGCAAGTCTCGATGGCTATGATGTTAAAGCGGGAATCTCCTCGTGGCCTCTGAATGCCTTTCCTTTGACAAAAGGGCGAAAAGCTGGGACAGTGTGGAGCATCTTCTCTTTCCTCTAGGTGCACATGTGCTGTGACTCAGGTAATGTCGTCCGAGAGTGTTAGATCTGACCATTCCTGACAAGAGCATAGGCCTAGAGATAACATTAAAGAGGACTATAATCAATCATTGGGTCATAAAGGCAAAAGGATGCGGCCACTTGAGAAAGGCTTGATTTCTGACTGTTGATAAACGCTCTCTCCCTTGAAGCACAACTAGGTGGAAGGTATAGCCGGAAAGTGTCGTCTGCAAAGAACTATAATTTGATTTGCTTGTGATTGTGTAACCCAATGGACTGCAATGTTTGAGGGAGTCTGCTTCAGTTATAATTGGACGACGGTTGCTTTTTAATTTCTAAGTTGGCGGTGGGCACACTGTTTCCATGACCAAATTGACTATATGAGCAAGGCGTCTAAATTTGAAGTTGAGACCTTTTCGTAATTATACCGGAAAAGAGTATGAGGCAACATGTTCCAATTGATGAGTATGATGAAAACCAGGAGAAATGTTGGTCAGCAGCAAGGGGCAGATGTCAGCTTATAACTCTTCCGAACCACCACGTTGCTCAGTCTCCCCTGTATCTTGCCATGCATTCGCATCCCCAACTGACCACCCCTCCCTCCCTCCCTCTCTCTCTGTCTCTCTCTCTCTCTCTCATAGACAAACACAGAGCTCATATGTGAAACGCCACCACCGCCACCACCACCGGAATCCTCCTCCTCCCACTGGTTCACAAGACTCCTGTTCCTGCAAGCAGAGCTCATATACAAGTGCATCGTCTCCCTCTTGTCCCCAATCTTGTCCCTCCTCTCCTTGGCCTCCGACTCTTACCACCGGGCCGAGGAGGCCAAGGACTCCGTCGAGTCCGCCGTTCACCGAGTCCCCTCCGACCTCTGCCTCCTCCTCAAGAGGCTCGGCCTCGGCTTCATCGCCTCCACCTATGTCTGCATGGTCTTGTCTCTGCTCATGGCTCTGTCTGTGATGGTGGGCGGGGGGTTGGTGAGGATGTGGGTGGAGGAGCCTGTGTTCGTGACACAAAGGTTGTATCTCGATTACACTCGTCTCCATCCCCAGGCTATCTTCTCCTTCTGTGGCGGTGTTGATGGTGGGGTTGGTCTGTGTGAAGGGTTTCACCAGAAGAAGCATGCGGGCATTCCTGTGGGTCACACATTTTCCGTCTCTCTGTTGCTCTTGATGCCAGAGTCTGACTATAATTGCCACATTGGTGTTTTTCAGGTATCTGCATCGTGTTTCTCTCAGGTTCTATCATCTCTTTCTTTGTTATATTTTACTTGATGTCGATCAAGTATGAATGAATTAGTTTCCAATGGTATAGTGGCCAATCATCAGGTTTCTCACAGGTAACTGCAGAGTTGCTATCAGTGAATGGGGAAGTGATTGCAAGGTCGAGTCAGCCATGCATGCTGCGATTCAGAAGCCTCCCAGTGAGGCTCATGAGGACACTCGTGCTGGGCATACCTCTGTTGCTCGGAGTCTCAGCAGAGACCCAGAAGATCAAAGTTGAGGCCCTTAAGCACAAGGAGCCAAGGCATCCCAGGACAGCGGCCATCAGGATCACCCTGATCCCGAGGGCCAGGACTTCATCGCCACCGCAGGTGTACGAGGCCCAGATCACGATGCACTCACAGCTGCCGTGGGCGAAAGAGGTGGTCCGTAACTGGAGATGGAGCTTCTGCGTGTGGGCATCCCTCTGCACATACATCGCGCTTCTGCTCGCCCTCCTCTGCTGCAGCAAAACCCTGGTTCTGCCGTCGGGGTCAGCAACGGGGGTCTCCCCCACGGAGCACGATGGCGAGTCCGAGATGGATGCGAAGAAGAGCAATCACGGCGCGAGGAAAGAAGAGGCGAGAGTAGGGGACGATGGAGAGGTTGCGGAGCTGTTGAGGAAGTGGCAGCAGAGCAGAGGGAAGAGGAAGGCCAGGTTTGCTTCAGAATTTAGAGGTGGCGAAGGTGAAGAAGGTTCATCAGCAGCGTCCAGCAGGAATGTCACTAGAGAAGACACGAGTGCAAGCATCGAAGAAGATGAGGTTGGGGATTCAGAGTCTGTATGCTTGAGCTAGAGCTTCTTCATGCATATTATTGTGACCTGATCTAATCAAATACAAGTGCTTTTAGTTATGTCGTGATCCATATTTCAAAGTTCGGATTAAACACAAGGCATGTGTTTTTTTTTTTTTTTTTTTTTTTCTGTCGGGGTATCGATATTGGCAATTCCTAAACTTTTTCTCAACGTGCAATCTCATTTCCTTCCGAGTATTTTTTGTTCGATTTAGTAGCTGAACGTTTAGAGTCGGACTCGATATCGTCTTTCCGTCGGCTGCCATGAAATTCGACTTAAACAATATGCAAATCGAAGCACTTTCCAAGCTTATTGAACCCAAGAGCCAAGATTCAGATCCCAAATCGTCCGGTTGCAATGGGGAGAAAAGTAAGGTAGACTGAGTTTGCTTCACAATGAAAACCGGAGCAAGTGCTCAACCTCAAACCTGGGGTTCGGTGGCCTGGGTGGTGGCTAAACCTGTTAAACGGATGAGTCGGGTCGGGTCATAAATTGTCTGATCCAACTTGACCCATTTAACCCGTTGATGACCCATTTATCGCAAGGCAAAAATCTTGATCCATACTCGATCCGATCCATTTAATTAAATCTAGGAAAGCATATTTCTGATAATTATTTTAAAAAATTGTATTGCTAAAACATCTCCATGCATTATAAATCCATAAAAAAAAATTGAGGTTCCGTTTGTTTCCCGGAAAATATAACATTTCTGAAAAATATTTTTAGGAAAATGACAATATTTTCCGATATTTGGCTGAAATCTGGAAATGAATTGGAAAATATTTTCCGCCGTTTGGTATGAAAAATCACATTTTCCTCTGCGCACTCATTTAAATATTTTATTTTTTATTTTTTTAAAAAACCATATTTTAATTATTTTTTTTCTTTTCCTTTTTCTTTCTTTTTATTTTTTCTTCTTCCCCGCCGGTGGCCGGCCACAGGCGAGGGATGAGTTCGGGCTCGCCAGAAAATGACCTAGAATCGCTTATAAAAATAAATGAACGAAAAATTTTCATTACCCGCAAAAATGTTCCGATATAAATTGATGTTGATAATGAAAACATTTTTCATTGACAAATTATTTCAAGCAATATAAGCGATCATTTTTGTGAAATATTTTCCAAATTATTCATTTTTCGCAAAACAAATGGAGCCTAAGTCTTGTGATTCTCATTGTTCATCCCGCGCGTCAAAAGCATAGTTGGTAATGGGGCCGAAAATCTTATAGAGGGACAAAATCTATAGTTGATTTTTTGTTGTTAGTAATGCGTAAAAGAGAACAACATAATAAATCAATCTGAAACATAAAAGGATAAAGACGTTCAGTGCACTAGAATTTCAATCAAAATTTAATTAAACATATCAGACACATGTTTTTTCCCAAAATATTATGAAGACATCATCTTCAACCATTTTCTTCTTTGCTCTGCATGGAGCTTAATTCACTCAAGCTTTCATACTAGATCGCTGCAAGAACCGCATAATAGAGCAATGCCACTGGCAATGATATCAGTATTCCCAAGATAACCCTGCATATCATGACATGCACCTAAATGTTAGCATACAAACAAGCTAATCGATTGACACGAACAGTAATTGGAGAATATACTTACGAAACACTCATTATATCGGCATGTACTTTGTATTCGTTAGCAAATACAAATGGAATAACCGCTGCCGGAAGGGCGGCCTGCAATTTACAAGAACCGTGATGTTTCAAAGCTTTTCAGATGCCTACATCTAATACAAGAATGTCATTTCATTGACTTATAACTTAGTTTACCTGTACGATTGATATACGCAAAAGATGGCCACGAATACCCAGCGCAACCGAAGTAGCTGCAGCCACAAGTGGTCCTACTATGAACCTCAAGGCCATGGCTAATGTTGCTAATGGATATCCACAAGGTATCAATTTCGGCTGCGTTCCCATGAATAAACCTGTTTGCTTGAGTACATGAGTGTAAAGTCATCCATATAGGGACAGCATCAATCACAAATGATTGAATGTGTGTACTGTGTAACTACCTAGACTGAACATTGCCATTCCAAGACCTGTATCCGAGAGTATTTGTAACGACCCTTTGACGATCAGAGGCATTTCGAGGTGCAACCTGCAATTAGGAAGGAAGGACAAGTGAATTCTTGATCATATTTTCCAAATGGTCGAGGTTTCGAATGCAAAAAACCCCCGAATTCTGCCACAAGTTCAGACTTTGAGAGGGAGAGACAGCATACTTGAATGAAAGCAGAGACCACGCAAGACCCAATATACTGGCGTATACGTTAGGGTTTCGAATGAGCTTCCTCCAGACCATCAATACAACGAGTCTTGTCATCACGCTCATTGAAGGCAACCCACGCTCAGTATTCACTGCATTCCCGTTATCAATCATCTCAGATGCATTCTCTGCATGTTCATTCAATGCTTCTCGAAAATTTTGACCGCCTGCATTAGATGCCATACATATATTGATTATACTCAAGATGGACTCAAATATACTCCAACAGAAAAAGAAATAAAAAGATAAAGAAAGCAATCATCAAATACGATTGGGAAGCATTTGATGATGTGATGGCTTCACGTTCCAAATCATAAAACATTTCTTGCGCGATCCTCAACAATTGTTGATGCGATGTGCCAGAATCTTTTGGGGTCTGAACACTCTCCTAGTAACAAACTTTGGATGCCACGTAATTTGTGAGTTATGACTAGTGAGGGGATGCTAAGGTTATGAAAGAACCTTTAAAAGTAGCTGTTTCCTCTTGAATACCAAGATCAGAAGAACCATGTGCGATACTAGAGCCGGCATGTCTCGACTTGCGTGCACTCGAGCCCCAATCATACATGTGAAGCCCCTTAGCAGGCACTGCACTGAAGTTACTATCAGCGAACATCATTGGTACTGCGCTGATAGATGTTATAAAATTCGGGTGAGAAGGCTGGTGCAATGGAAATGGGAAGCTGTTTATCGACTCGCTGCTCTGATTCCTTCCCCTATAACTTCTCTTGCCAACACGAGTGGTTCCTACATCAACAATCCAATCAGCTTTTGCATTTGCTGATTTTGAATCATGTAAGGAAAATGCAGCCTCTTTACTCCCATTAAATTCGTGCTTTTGGCTTCCATAATTACCGTCCGGTTTATTGAGGCTTGATGTTCTTGACCAAGACTGCAATGAATAAATCTCTACCCCTGACAGGTTTGATGCACGTGGGCTTGTTGTTACGGAACTCAATTGTTCGAGGGATTTACGGAGTGTGGACTCCATAGATGAAGTGGAGGATCTCCTGACCATTACGTGGACCTTGCCATTATCATCTATCTCGGCCTCCACCTCTAATGATTCATGACCATTGAGCGAAACAACATCAGGATCGACCCTGATGGAGGTTATTGCCGGAGAGCAATCAGGAAAGTGTTCGTTGAACAGGATCATTGCACCTCTATATTCAAGCAAGATTAGCAAGAGGGTATACCATATTAAAACCTGCAGGACCACTATTTGAACCATCAGACTACTTGAGGGATCTCCGTACATTGCCTGGAGTAGAGGAATGCCTATGATCAAGGTGTTTGGAAGGGTGGAGAGGGAGAAGAAAGATATCACCCACTCAAGGCTCGTATTTCGGCTGAAGATTACCCACAGTACAAGAAGGGCTAGAATCACCACTTTCTGGAGAGTGTCAGCTCCAAGAAAGCGATAATTCATGTCATAGAAGTCACAAGATGTGATCACATGGAAGGAAAGGACAGGGACAGCGAAAGTGGCCACGTATCGGTTGATGCCGGCGCACTGTTGTGGGGTGAAGATCTTCCAAAACCGAACAGAGGCATAGGCTAAGATCATGGCCACGTACAAGGGCACGATCGCTGCAACAATCTTGTAAATGTCCTTACCAGAGAGCATGGTTTTTTCAGAGAAAAGGAATAAAGGGCAATGAATAGAAAAATTGAAAAGGAAAAAGGTGGGTTTTGATTGACAATGCTGTTGAGAACTTTGAGTTGGAAGAGAAGGATAGAGAGAGATGAATCGATCATCCTTGTCCATATATGACAACTACCCGGTTGAACTGAGTGAATAGTCCCCTGTTTCTTCTCTTCAGTTCAGATTGCATTCTTAAATAGGTGGATCATGCCTGAATATTTATTTCTCAAAGAGGATTACATCATAAATATGATAGATCCTAATTGTTTATGAAAAGTGCAATCTTACGTCGACACCCTCTCAACATATGACTGAACGGCAACATTTACTGATCCAATCTTTGAGTCACTCCTGACGTCTATTTTGACTAATCCTTGCTCATCAGCCACTCAAGATGCTGAGTCTCGCATTCACAACTCAAACAAGACTCCAAAAGGGGAAAGAAAAAAAAAGAGGAAGGAAAGAAAAGCTTGATTGTAATATATGGGCCATAAAATAACCCATTATTTTATAAGTCCAAAGCCTAGCCCATTTTCTTCCTCCTCCAGTAAATCGTGCATTGGAAGCTTAAAGAAAGGAAAGAAGAAGCAGAACGCGGCAGAGCTTAAACCAGAAGTAAGAGGAGCTCGATCGTGGAGAAGAGAGGAAAAGGGGAAACAGAGGGAGAGAAGAAAATTTCCGCACGTTCACAATCCGAACGTCCTGACAAGTTGAATCAACTACGAATCGCAACGCTTGGTGAGTAATCAAGCCAATTATTTGTTTAATTGGAGTAATTTTCGGGTTAGGGCTCAAATTTCGGAGTTAGGTGAAATTCAAGCCGCGTAGTTTGATTTTTGAGTCGTTGAGCTATATATATATAGAATTGGTAGTTTAAGGTGTCGTGGAGCCGTGGAATTTTACGGAACTCGATTTGGACTTACGATTTGCCTGAAACGAAATTTTGAAGTTGAGCGCACGTGGTGAACAGTGCGCGACCAGCAATTTTCATGCTGATTTTCGTCGCTTTTTGGCCCGAGTTTGGGTCGGCCAAGCTAGGGTTCTTGTAGTTCTTTGAATGGGCTTTCTTTTGACTATAAGCTCGCTTGAAACGTGATTCGAAGAAAAGAGTTTTGGCACAACTAAATTTCGCGCTCAAGCTCCTTGTTGCGGAAGGTTTTTGATAATTGCTTTGGACAAGCGATTTGTGGGCGCCTTTGACTTGTTTCGTTAGCGATTCAGCATCGTTTAGCCGTTTCGTAGTTATCGTAGTATTTTATTTAGTTTTGAGGTCGATTCTCGTTTAATTGTTAGGATTACGAGATCGTCGGTTCGAGTGAGCATTGTTGTTTGGTTTTGGGGCAGTCCCAGGTGAGTGGTACTATTTCTTCCATGAATTTACAAACTCATGTCTTGAAAATGGTAGAGTTTTACTATAGTATGAGTTATTAAGAGCATATTTCTTACATAAATTGGATCGAACTTTTACTATATTTTTAGTCGATTGAAAAGGAATTTAGAATATTTTATGAAGTGGTCTAAAAAGACCAATTGTAAATGTTTTGGTTAAATGTTTAGTGAAAGGAATTTCCAAAAGTAGTTCGTATTGATTATAAAATGTTTTATGAAATGCATTTTAATTGATAAATGGAATTGTGGAAGGTTATGTGATTTGGTTTGTAAAATTGGTTTATGAAATAACTTTCTGGTGTTGATTGTGCGTTGTTGGAGAGATGTTTTGGTTGATATGGCTCATATCCCTATGACGAGAACCCATTGAGGGGGGAGTATGCATACTGTCAGGACGTACTTCTGGGCCGAACCGCCGGCTATATAGGTGGTAGACCTAGCCAAGGGGGTAAACTTGGTCGCCGTTGTCACGGCGTTAAACGTGACTATAGTTCGATGATGAGCATAAGATTAGTTGATGGAATGGACCATCTACGTGTGATTGATGAGATTAATCAATGGAATAGACCTTTAATGGTTGTTTGTTATTGTTGAGTAAGTTTTGATAGCTGATCTTGTACGTATAGAGTTTTGTTGGAAAGTTATCATACATTTTCGATAGTTTACATATATTGTATATTGAATTTGAGATGGTGAAATTGATATCATTTTATAACGATGCATAGTGATTGTTTGATCCGCTTGGAAGAAATGTATTATTCACTAGGCCATGGTAGCTCATTCCATTAATCTTTCGTGTTTTTCAGATTTTTCGATTATTGGCCGATAATTCGAGAGCGCTTTTGATGGGGACTTTTGGAAATTGATTTTTTTTTTATAAGGTTTGAGGCTTTGTCCTTTAAGAGGAAGGACGGCCGTGTCACTACCCCTATTCTTGTAGGATTTGGGACGTGACATTGATACAGTCCTGTAGACAGGCCAAGTTGTCCAGACGATATTCCAATGTTTACACCCTAAATGGGGTTTCCTCTTTTTCCCTCTCTTTCTGTCAAAGCGTAAGAAAGGGAAGAGAGCAATTTCTACGGTTAGAATACAGACTCACTTCATGCGCTTTGAAGACCCTATTCGACTTTGCCTTTGAAGAAGTTCAATGCTTGCTTGCTGGCATTCTGTCAATTGTTCATGGTGTCAATGATATCCCCCTCTCTTGCGATTTGCAAATTTGGAGGCTTGATTGATTACCGAGACAAGCACAAGATTATCCGATCGGATGACGTAGAAAAACACGGGGGTCAATTTGAGCCTTCGCCCTTTTTTTTTTCTCTAATTCAAAAGTGCGACTTCCTTTGGTCTCTTTTCTTTGATTCTTCAATTATTCTGGCAAAAACTTCTCACTAGTGGATTGGGAAGGTATCATGCATAAGGATTTTCCCTGTATAGAGGTTAAGTTTTTGCCATAAGATCGCTAAGCAATGGTATCGAATATTGGGTGCTTGAGAGGATTATAAATGTGAACTACTGGTCACAACCACATTAAGTCATATGATTCTCGTTGTTTGTCCCGTGCATCGAAAGCATAGTTGGTGATGGGACCAAAAATCTTATAGAGGGACAAAATGTGTAGTTGATTTTTTTTTTTTTTATGACCCGGGAACCGCCGTATAGCCGACAGCCGGCGACGTAAACCCGGGGTGACGCTAGCGCAGGACCCACCACCACGGCGCCACACTTAAGAATCCCTGACGACTAGGCTGGGATTCTAACTCCCCACCTTTCGTGAGGGGCAGAGAGCGCGAACCAACACAGCCGCTGCGGGCGGTGGTTGTAGTTGATTTTTTGTTGTTAGTAATGCGTAAAAGAGCACAACATAATAAATCAATCCGAAACATAAAAGGATAGAGATGTTCATTGCACCAGAATTTCAATCAAAATATAATAAAGCATATCAGACGCATGTTTTCCCTAAAATATTTGATCATCAAAAAGCGCGTAACTTTGAAACAAGATTTATCATTCATTACTTTATATAAATTTGGACACCCTAAGATGTGCTTGAAATTATCGCGCATAAATTCCCAACCATTTCTTATATATAGAAAACACATTGTATAGAATTTTTCTCCTAATACTTGTAGCTAGTAAAGTATTTGACATCTACGGTATGAAGTTCGCTGTTCTTGCATTACTAAATCTAGAAATGTTATGACATGCAAGATACATCTTCACCCCATAAACGAAAGAAGTACGTAGAAACTTGTATAACGCAGACTAACAACACTGAGAGTGGCCAAATGAGTATCTCTGTTTACAGTCTGAGAACTAATAGCTTATTATGAAGACATCATCTTCGACCATCTCCTTCTTTGCTCTGCATGGAGCTTAATTCACTCAAGCTTTGATACTAGAACGCTGCAAGAACCGCATAATAGAGCAATGCCACCGGTATTCCAAAGATAACCCTGCATATCATGACATACACCTTAATGTTAGCCTACGACAAGCTAATCGATTGACACGAACAGTAATTGGAGAATAAACTTACGAAATACTCATCATATCGGTATGTACTTTGCTAGCAAATACAAATGGAATAATCGATGCCGGAAGGGTGGCCTGCAATTTACAAGAACTGTGATGTTTCAAAGCTTTTCAGATGCCTGCATATAATACAAGAATGTCACTTAATTAACAGTAACTTACTTTACCTGTACAATCGATATACGTAAAAGATCGCCACGAAGACCCAGCGCAGCGGAAGTAGCTGCAGCCACTAGAGGTCCTACTATGCACCTCAAGGCCATGGCTAATGTCGCTAACGAACATCCACAAGGCATCAATTTCGGCTGCGATCCCATGAATAAACCTGTTTGCTCAAGTACGTTAGTGTGAAGTCATCCATACAGGGAGAGCATCAATCACAGATGATTGAATGTGTGTACGGTATAAGTACCTAGACTGAACATTGCCATTCCGAGACTTGTATCCGAGAGTATTTGTACTGACCCTTTGACAATCAGAGGCAAATGGAGGTGCAACCTGCAATTAGGAAGGAAGGACAAGTGAATTCTTGATTATATTTTCCAAATAATCAAGGTTCTGAATGCAAAAAATCCCGAATTCTGCCACAAGTTTAGACTTTGAGAGGGAGAGACAGCATACTTGAATGAAAGTAGAGACCAAGCAAGACCGAATATACTGGCGTATAAGTTAGGGTTTCGAATGAGCTTCCTCCAAACCATCAATACAATGAATCTTGTCATCACACTTATTGGAGGTGTCCCAAGCTCAGTATTCACTGCATTCCTTTCTTTATAACTTATCTCAGATGTATTCTCTGCATGTTCATTCAATCTTGCTCGAAAATTTTGACTGCCTGCATTAGATGCCATACATATATTGATTATACTCAAGATGGACTCGATTATACTCTTGACAGAGAGAGAATAAAAAAGATATAAAAAGCAAGCATCAAATACGACTGCGAAGCATTTGATGATGTGATGGCTTCACTTTCCAAATCATAAAACATTTCTTGCACAATCCTAAACCATTGTTAATGCGATGCAACAGAATCTGTTGGGCTCTCAATGCTCTCCTTGAAACACACTTTGGATGCCACGTAATTTGTGAGTTATGACTAGTGAAGGGGATGTTAAGGTTTTAAAAGAACCTGCAAAAGTAGCTGTTTCCTCTTGAACACCAAGATCAAAAGAACAATGTGCGACCCTAGAACCGGCGTGTCTCGACTTGTCTGCACTCGAGCCCCAAGCAAACATGTGAAGCCCCTTAGTAGACACTGCACTGGAGTTAATTACTGTCATTGAACATCATTGGCACCTTGCTGGTGGACGTCATAAAAATCGGGTGAGAAGGCTGGTGCAATGGAAACGGGAAGCCACTTGTCAACTTGCTGCTCTGATTCCTTCCCCTATAACTTCTCTTGCCAATACGAGTGGTTTCTGCATCAATAATCCGATCAGCTTCTGCATTTGCTGATTTTGAACCATGTAAGGAAAATGCAGCCTCTGCACTCCCACCAAATTCGTGTTCATGGCTTTCATAATGACCATCCGGTTTATTAAGGCTTGATGTTCTTGACCAAGACCGCAATGAACAAATCTCTACCCTTGACAGGTTTGATGCACATGAGGTTGTTGTTACGGAACTCAATTGTTCAAAGGATTTATTGAGTGTGGACTCCATAGATGCAGCGGGGGATCTCCTGACCCCTACGTGGTCCTTACCATTATCATCTGTCTCGGTCTTCGCCCCTAATGATTCACGACCATTGGGCGAAACAACATCAGGATCAACCCTGATGGAGGTTATGGCCCGAGAGCAATCGGGCAAGTGTTCATTGACTAGGATTATTGCACCTCTATATTCAAACAAGATAAGCAAGAGGGGAAACCAGAATAAAACCTGCAGGACCACTATTTGAACCATCAGACTACTTGAGGAATCTCCGTACATGGCCTGGAGGAGAGGAATGCCTATGATCAGAGTGTTTGGAAGGGTGGAGAGGGAGAAGAAAGATATCACCCACTCGAGGCTCCCATTTTGACTAAAGATTGACCACAGTACAAGAGAGGCTAGAATCACCACTTTCTGGAGAGTGTCAGCTCCAAGAAAGCGATAATTCATGTTGTAGAAGTTGCAAGTTGCGATCACATGAAGGAAAGGACGGGGACAGCGAAAGTGGCCATGTAATTGTTGATGCCGGCGCACTGTTGTGGGGTGAAGATCTTCCAAAACCGAACAGAGGGCTAAGATCATGGCCACGTACAAGGGCGTGATCGCTGCAACGATCTTGTAAACATCTTGACCAGAGAGCATGGTTTTTTCAGAGAAAAGGACTAAAGGGCAGTGAACAGAAAAACTTAAAACGACAAAAGGTGAATTTTGATTGACAAAACTGTTTGAAATTTTTGAGGTGGAAGAGAAGGAAGCAAAGAGAGGTGAATCAATCATCCCTGTCGATATATGAGGAGGACTGAGGAGAGCCCCCTATTTCCTCTCTTCCGTTCAGATTGCATTCTTGAATAAGTAAATCATCCCTTGAGCCAAAAAAGAAAAAAGGGGGGGAATCATCTCTAAATATTTATTTCTTGAAGAGGATTGCATCATAAATATGATGGATCATGATCGTTTATGGAAAGTGCAATCTGGCGCCAACACCCTCTTGACAAAAATCTGGCTGGCAACATTTAGGGCCCGTTTGACAAGTTGCCAAATAGTAAAAACTTTGTTCTTTTGTTCCCAGAATCAGTTTGGGAACAGAAATCCATTTATTAAATTTTTTGTGCCCGGACACAAATTTGCAAAAAATTGTTCCCAGAATCAGTTTTGGAACAAAATCAAGAAGCAACATATTTTTCTTGATTCTTGAACAATTTTTCGATTTCTGATTCTTCTTGATTTTCTTCTTCTTTCTTGGTTTATTGTTCTTCTTCTTTTCGACCTGCCACCGATGATCGGCCATAGGCCAGGGCCGGCGAGGGCGGCTTGCGGCCGCGATGGTGAGGCCTCGCCCAGCCATGGCGAGGCCGACCTCACCGTCGCCACCTAGGCGAGGGACCTTGGTCGCGACAGTGAGGTCGGCCTCGCCTGGCCAAGGCGAGGCTGACCTCGCCGGCCCTAGCCTGTGGCCATTTGCTGGCGCCGGCAACCGACCATAGCCAAGGAAGGGAAGAAAAAGAAAAAAAAAAGAGAAAGAAATATTAAAAAATTCAAAATATTATTAATAAAAAGAAATTCTGTATAGTTACTAAACCCATTTTTGTTTTTTTCTATTCTAAGAATAGAAATTTTGGGTAATTACCAAACGCTTTCAAATGCTTAGAAATTATTCCTAGGCACAGAATAAAAAAAAATCATTTCTAAGCAGAATCAGTTCCCGAGCACAGAATCGTTGTCACGCACACCCTTACTGATCCAATCTTCAAGTCACTCCAAACGTCTATTTTGACTAATCCTTGCTCATCAGCCACTCGAGATGCTGAGTTTCGCATTCACAACTCTAACAAGACTCCGAAAAAGAAGAACGAAAAAAAAGGCAAGGAAAGAAAAGCTTGATACAGTCTTGTAGACAGGCCAAGTTGTCCAGACAACATTCCAATGTCTACACCCTAAAAGGGGGTTTCCTTTTTTTCCCTCTCTGTCAAAGCATAAGAAAGGGAAGTGACAGCAATTTCTACGGTTAGAATATAGACTCACTTCATGCGTTCCGAAGGCCCCATTCGACTTTGCCTTCGAAGAAGTTCAATACTTGTTTATTGGCATTCTGTCGATCGTTCATGATATCAGTGATATCCCCCTCTCGTGCGATTTTCAAATTTGCAGGCCCGATTGATTACTGAGACAAGCACATGATTATCCAATCGGACGACGTCAGAAAAAACAGGGGTCAATTTATGCCTTGTGCAATTGTTTTTTTCTACTTCAAAGTGTGTCATCCAGAGGTATAATTTCGTAATCTTCACTCAGTTTCTCAGTTTTCTTATGCAGGATGACACAGCTTTCCTGGAAATGGTTGCTTTTATGTATAGCTGAAATGAACACCCTTAACATTTTGTACAACATAAGACACCTCGACGTAAATCTACAACCTACAACCAGGATGATGGACTTGCCTGCAAACATCATGAGATTCACAAAATAAAGGGATATCATTGATATAATAGACCAAAAACCAGAAGCATATCTTGGTATAAGAACCAAGGCAGAAGAGCAGCTTTCAACTAAAAAAAGAGCAGACCATGATTAAATAACCACATAATGCCCACTACTTCGAAACCTTTCAACATGTGACTTTATTGATATATGGCAGTTGAGGATGCTGTTATCAGCATAACTCCTAGAAGTGTTCGTTTCTAGCCGATCTTAAGTGAGCTTGTGAATGTTTTCCATATCAGCAGCTTCCTTGAGAGTCCCTTTTTCGACGTGATCCCACCACTTAAACAAGAAATTGTCCACGACTAGTCTGAACCAGGGTGACAGCTTCAGACCTTCCTCACCAGCATCGACTTTCCTCAGCAGCTCTTTTAGCTGCTCCCTGTTCACATATTTGACATCGGCGACTTCATCAGGATTTGGATGGACACCGACATCTCGAACAATGAAGAGCAAGTAGTCAACTGCAAATCAAGAATGCAACTCAGTTTACAGACATCTTAAGGTCGTAGCTTGCAGGCAATATGAATAAAAGCAAATCAACCCAAGTACCGCAAGAGTGAACTTGGGAAATATAGGGCGTGTAAAGTAAATGTACTCACGTTCATGTTCTCCCCACTTGCCGTCAGAAGGAGCCTTATACAACATACGACTTAGTGGGATGAATTGATCAACTGGCACATCCTCAGCAGGAATACCCAACTCATCCAAGAGCTTCCTCTGTGCAGCATTCCTGACACCTGGCAATCATATAAAAGAGATCAGCATTTCACGACACTGAGTAGCATTCAATAATTTAAGGTATATAGCAACTTTACAAAAAATGCATCTAGAGTGGTGTTTATTACCCAAAGCGTTCTCATCGATAAGCTCGGACTCCCGGTACAAGGGATGACTGCAGCAGGTGTTTGTCCATACAAGGGGGAAAGTTACCTTTGTCGCAGATCGTTGCTGTCCAGATACATGACACAGTCAATTTACCTAACAGCTCAAGGATGAAAACATTTTCAACCAAAAAAAGAAAAAGGATGAAAACGTTCTTCCACAAAATAGTTAAGTGATAGCTGACCACACTGACACTAAGATGGGATAGGAGAAACTTGAATGCGCAAAATAAAAGGACCGTTATAGGTAAAGCATATATTGATTAGTGTAGCAGTTTTTAAGCATCCCACTTCTCTGTTTTTTGCTAATATAATGTAGGTCTTAATTTGACATGTTCAACTTTGGAGTTTTACCAATGCAGTCACGCAGAAAACAGCCAAATCATAAAAAGGCAAGGGATTCTAAGACAATTCAATCCAATGCAAACATGAATCTACCTCTCCCCTAGCATCCTTGAAATTAATGCATGCACTGCTTCAGAAAAACACATGTAAACTGAGTCCACCGCAAATAAGACTCCCACTATTAGTCAAATTTCATTAAAGTAGTTCGACATACAAGATTGTCCATATTGTGGGATTACTTACGTCTTCCCTGATAAGTTTCTTAATGAAAACAATGATGATGAAAGACTGAATGAGTTATTGAAGAAGATAAGGAAAAGTAGTCATTCGCTTCCAAACGCTCACTCTCGTCATGGGTATGCACTGTATTCTAGCCGTACATTAGCTTCATACCTGAAGCAGTAACTCGTACTTTGTGTTGAACAGGAAAACACTGAAAGCTCTATGCAACAGATTTTCCTTTTCAATTTTTTCCATTAAGTGACCTGCAGTTTCCCAAAAGTATCACAGAACAAAATCAGAAGCGAGCAGGAGAACAATTAATGAGTACATCAGGAAGAGGGGAATTCTAGATTAATCACATCAGGTACATGTAGTTTATAATGCACACACTTGAAATGGTTAAAAGCTGAAGCCTCTATATCCGCACATACATTCAATTTTATAAAGCAGGGTTAACCTCCACAATTTAGTGAGGTCATGCAGAATAGGACAGGAGGAAGAAAGACTACAAATCATGCAGATTCAAACCCAGAAAATCCCTCAACTGACATGCACCAAGAATGATCGCTTACAATTATATTTCGATTCATGACCGATAACCTGATCATTTTCGTCAACCAAAATGCATCTGCAAGAAGCCACGGTAATGACGACATCAGAACACACTGACAAGAGCACAAAGGATAAAAGGTCGAGCATATATTAAATACTTAAGCTTGATAACCTAACCATGCGAGATCCCCCGTGAGAGATGCAGAATAACTTGGAAATTAGAGGGGCTTGAGAAAATACCCAGAAATCAATCAAAAACCAAAATTGGCACTAACTTGTTCCTACGTACACATGACAGTGAGCTGGACAAGGGAGGGAAGATATCATAACGAGCAGTTAGTCACTATGACTGTTCTCTGGAAGTGCAAGCATATGAATGGTAAAAGCAAAGAGCGTGCAGCCACGTCTTTGCAGCCAGCAACTCTTGCCTAATGATGGAGCCAGAAAAGAAACGGAACAAGGCATGCGAACCCAACTGATCAGAACAGCCACTACTATCGAATTATCCACGAGAATGGCCAATCACCCACTTCACAAACTAGCATAAATTCTTCAGCTTCGATAGGCGAGAACAATGAAAATAAAATCACACGCAAGAATTTCATGGCATATGAATGGCAAAAGCAAAGAGCGTGCAGCTACGTCTTCACAGCCAGCAACTCTAGCCTAATGATGGAGCCAGAAAAGAACCCAACTGATCAAAACAGCCAATACTGTCGAACTATCCACGAGAATCGCCGATCACCCGCTTCACAAACTAGCATAAATTCTTCAGCTTCGATAGGCGAGAACGATGAAAATTAAATCACACCCAAGAATTCCAGCTCATTTAGCCATTATAACCCCCTGATTCACCTACACAGGGCCTCAGTTCTATCCAAAGACCAAAACTTGCAGACAATTAGACGCACAACACCATGAATAAGCATGATGGGAGATCATAATCCTCACGAGAAAAGCACCAAAAAGCAACCGAAATTCACAATCTTTTCAGGCGTCAGCCAACGATATTCAAAAGAGAAAAGGGCACGGACTCGTCCTCGAACATGAGGCGCCTCTGGACGGCGTCCATCGCGGCGTCGGGGGCGCCGCCCACGGCGGTGCTCGCGGGGGACCGAACGGACACGGACGCCCGGACGCTGCCGAAGGCCCGGCGGCTCGCGAAGCGCCGGACAGGGGCGGCATGGGAAGGGAAAGGTGGGAACTTGCGGCGGCAGCGAGAGGAGAAGAGGGCCGGGCTGGGAAGGCGGGTCGTCAGCGACATCGGGCCGTCGTCGTCGGAGGAAGAAGAAGAAGAAGAAGAAGAGGGAAACCTCGGATGCTTCGCGCTGATCTGAGAGAGCGTCCGCCATTGATGAAGGCAGGGGTTGGTGGCATTTTATTACGTCATCATTTCATTTTTTACTTTTTTTTTCTATTAAGATTCATATCACGAAAAATTTGTACTAAAAACTTCAAACTCGTACATTTGTGATAAATTTAGACTCCATTAGTATCTGTTACATTGGATTACTATCACGAAAAATCACAAACCGGTACCTCTGCAAACTCCAAACTAGCACATTCATTAACTGTCACGTGCCAGCTAATTCAGTAATTTGATAATAAGATTTAACGGAAAATAAGGGAAGGTAAATTTATTATAGATATATCAGTTTGTGGCTTTTAGTGATCAAAAAATTAGTATAGAATAAATTTCGTACCACAAATTCGAGTGAAATGGCCGGTGGTAATGGTGTGTGGTAAGGTCGCTGCTATAGAATGGCGATGCCAATTTTTGATCTGCTGCTATTGTCTTTTTTCTTCTTTTATCCATTCTCTTGCGCTTAACTAAAGGAAGTTGAATACTATCTAGAGTCACGAAGGAGACTTTATCTTTTCATTCCTACCAACGTGATATCCATGTACCAATTTGGGATTTTTTTTTTTAAAAAAAAAGTTGGGTAAAAGTCGGTTGGTGTGTCGCAGTGATTGATAACAAATTTAGTCGGCTGTGAGGGGGAGATTTCGTATAGCTTTCTAGGATTAGGAATTAAGGTTGTCCTTTTGTGCTTCTTCTTTTATTATTTTGTTTTTTGTGGTGAGGCATGATTCACATGTCAAAAACAGTGGATCGACAGCTCTTTGTTTGGGTGCATCGTTTCTTCGACCATCTTCGATTCCCTTCGCATCTTTCCCATCCACATAATTGGAAACCCCCTTGAATCCGAGCGATCATCCAGGAGAAAATGACTTCTTTTTTGGATCCTGATCCTTGTGAACACAATCGGCAGGAAAATTATCCAAAAAATCCTAAACCTATTATATAACGGCCAATTCAATCCTGAACGTATTGTACTTCGGCCAATTCAATCCAAAATCTTCAATTATGTCAATTTAATCCTAAACTTTTTAAGGATTTGACAATTTAATCCTAAACTTTTTAACGATTTGTCGATATAGTCCTTCGGCGATTTCCGGGCCAAAATTACTTTGAAGAACTACATTGACAAATCCTTAAAAAGGTTTAAAACTAAATTGTCAAAAGGTTTAGAACTGAATTGTCACGGTTAAAAGGTTTAAGATTAAATTGGCTGCCGTACAATAAATTTAGGACTAAATTGCTACAATTGAAAAGTTTATAACTAAATTAGTCATTGTACATAAAGTTTATGACTTTTTGGATAATTATCCCCACAATCGGCTCATGAATCTTTTCATTCGCATCATGTGTTAACAGCGCTTTGTGTTCTCTTATCTTCATCCCCGCCCTAGGAGCAAGGATTAGATCGAACCAACAATAAACCGCAAGCACCTTCTACGTTGGGCCTTTGGGCATGCATCTCTCGTGGCCACACGGTAGAAGCCGGACCCGACACGAACGAGCTGGCATCTCATAGGAATGCTCATTCATTTTTTTCATTTGTTTGGTAAGGTCCACGGAATGGAATGGGTACTCAAAAATCTATAAGTAGAAAGATTTAGGGTTAATACAACGAAAAACTTCAAACTGGTACACCCATGACAATTTGACCATGAACTATTTTTTTATCACAAAAAACCCCAAACTAGTACACCTGTAATAATTTTATCCCGAATTATTTTTTTGACCACCAAAAGTCCCACACTGGTATACCTGTGATAATTTTACTCCGAACTAATTTTTTTATCACAAAAAATCTCAGACTGGTACACATGCGACAAATTTGTCCTTCATTAGTTTCCATTAAATTTTATTGTCAAATTGCTAAGTTTGATGACACGTGGTAGTTGACAGGTGTACCAGTTTGGGATTTTACCCCTCTGTTTGCCATAAGTTTTTCAATTTGTGGTTTTTCGTGATATTAATCCAATTTAACAAACACTAACGGAGGGTAAATTTGTCACAAATGTACCAGTTTAAGGTTTTTAGTGATCAAAAAATTAGTTTGAGGTAAAATTGTTACAAGTGCACCAGTTTGGGGTTTTTGATTATCAAAAAATTAATTTGGGGTAAAATTGTCACATGTATATCAGTTTGGGATTTTTCGTGATATTAACCCAAAGATTTATGATTCCTTTTCCTTAAGTGAAATCATGGTTTCTGTTACAATCTATTCTATTGCATGAAAAATAACATTAAAGTAAACAAAGTCATAGACCTTGCCAGTAAAGTGCAATCAAATCCTTCTATAGGAAGAACCATCTATCTATCAGTTGAAAATTTTGTCCATGCGGTAGCCGTCGTGTCTCCCACGTGAGAACGTTGGGGAAGTGGTGGCTTGTCGTACTTGATTGTATCTTGTTAGAAAGGTTTAGGATATAATTATAAGGGTTAATACCACGAAAAATCCTAAACTAGTACACTTGTGATAGATTTACCCCAAATTATTTTTTTGACCATAAAAAATCTCAAACTGGTACATCTGTGACAATTTTACCCCGAACTATTTTTTTGACCACCAAAAACCCCAAACTGGTACACCTATGACAATTTTACCCCGAATTAATTTTTTAATATTATTTTTTATTTTTTCGAATTTTTTCGAATTTTTTTAGTTTTTCTTATCTTTTCTTTTTCCTTTCTTTTTCTTTTTTTTTTTCCTTCATCTTCAACCTCTGACCGGCGAGGTCGGCCCCGCCGGCAGATGGCGAGGCCGACCTTGCCGGCAACTGGCAAGGTCAACCTCGCCCAGAAGCGGCGAGGGCGACCCCTTGCCGGCAACTGGCGAGGGCGACCCCTTGCCGGCAACTGGCGAGGGGTCGTCCTCGCCGTCACTGGCGAGGTTCGACCTCGCCGCTTTTGGGCGAGGCTGACCTCGCCACACCAGTTGCCGGCGAGGCCAAGCCTCGCCAGCGACGGCGAGGACGACCTCTTGCCAGGGCCGGGGCAAGGCTGACCTTGCCAGTTGTCGGCGAGGTCGGCCTCGCCTAGCAATGGCAAGGTCGGCCACGCCAGCGGCCGGCGGGGCCGACCTCGCCAGCCCCCACTTCTGGCCAGTTGCCGGACCGGCGACCGGCCAGAGGTTGAAGTTGAAGGAAAAAAAAAAGAAAGGAAAAAGAAAAGAAAAACTAAAAAAATCGAAAAAAAAATATTATTAAAAAATTAGTTCGGGGTAAAATTGTCACACGTGTACCAGTTTGGGATTTTTGGTGGTCAAAAAAATAGTTCGGGGTAAAATTGTCACAGATGTACCAGTTTGGGATTTTTGTGATCAAAAAAATAGTTTGGGGTAAATCTGTCACAAGTGTACCAGTTTAGAGTTTTTCGTGGTATTAACCCTAATTATAATAATTAAAAGGTTTGTGGTTCTTCACTCCATTTGGTGTAGTATTTTCGTGATAATTTGATTTTCAGAAGAGGCATTTTCTATCTGAAAAAACAAGGGAGAAAATGATGCTAAAATTATGTATTATTGAGTATGAGGACATACTTGATGAAATGATTACATCTCTTGTGTAGAGAAACAAGTCAATCACGTTATAATAAAGCAATTATATGCAACATCAAACAATGCAATATCTTCTTGAAATTTCAAATTTATAAACTCCGATTGGTGACTCATGGCAAAACCATTTCTAGGGTTGGCAATGGGGCTGGGCGGGTGGGAGGGTTGCATCTCTCAACTCTGCCTCGCAATAAGTTAGATGTCCCATATTTGGGAAAAATTATCCAAAGAGTCATAAACCTATTACACTTTTGCCAATTCAGTCTTAAATCTTTTGATTTTACCAATTGAGTCATAAAATATTTTGACAATTTGCCAATTGAGTCCATCCGGCTAATTTTGGCCAAAAATTGCTAACATGGCACGACAAGCGATGACGTGGACATTTTTAATAATATTTTGATTTTTTTTTTTATATTTTTATATTTTTTTCCCTTTTCTTTACTTTTTTTTTGTTTTTGGATTAGGGCCGGCCGACCATCGCCGGCTCTTAGATTTTACTCTTAAATGGAAAATTTTACGCATCACGTCCCCACCCCTCCGAGCATAGGGATTTCCCCAACCCCTTTGTCTCGACCCAAGTTTATGTTGAACTTAACTTTAATTTGAAATACAAAAACTGAAATGATGAATTAATAAGTTACATGAACTCGTTCCTTATCCAATTTTTAAAAGAAATTTCGTATCAAATAAAGTGGGTGTTTTAATAGAATTACTCTCGTTATCTGAATTAACTGAGTAAAGCAGTCCACTATTTCCTCTCTTCAGTTCAGATTGCACTCTCAAATGGAAGAGACGGCAATTTCTTGCTTCTATGATCTTGTGCTCAATACGAGTGTATGGCTCAATAGCTCCGAAGGCCCTATTCGACTTTGCCTTCATAGCAGTTCAATGCTTGTTTGCCTGCATTCCATTTCTTCGGACTGATTCCGAAATCAATCCATATTAAGATCTGCAAATTGTTATGGGGTATGTCTGCAAACATCATGAAATTCACAAGAGGAAGGGATATCATTGATATCACAGACAAATATCCAAATGTGTGTCTTGGCATAACTAGAGGTTCCATAAAAACCAAGTGCGAAGAGAAGAGTTCGACCGAAAAGAGAACCGATCATAATTGAATAACCACATAGCGCAAGCTGCTTCAGAACCTTTCAACATGCGACTTTATTGAGATACAGCGGCGAGGATGCCGTTACGAGAAGTGTTCGTTCCTAACAGACCTTTTAAGTGAGCTTATGAATGTTCTCAATATCAGCAGCCTGTTTGAGAGTCCCTTCTTCGACATGATCCCACCACTTGAATAAGAAATTGTCCACAATTAGTCTGAACCAGGGTGACAGCTTCAGACCATCCTCACCAGCATCAACTTTCCTCACCAGCTCTCTTAGCTGCCCCCTGTTCACGTATTTGACGTCGGCGACTTCATCGGGGTTTGGATGGACGATGACATCTCGAACAATGACGAGCAAGTGGTCAACTGCAAGTCGAGAATGCAGCTCAGTTTACACAATCTTAAGTTCGCTGCTTGCAGAGAGTATGAATAAAACCAAAAAAACCCAGGTGCCGCAAGAGTGAAGTTGGAAAATACAGGGCGTGTGGAAGTAAGTGTACTCACGTTCATGCTCCCCCCACTTGCCATCAGAAGGTGCCTTATACAGCATGCGAGTTAGTGGGATGAATTGATCAACTGGCACATCCTCAGCATAAAGACCCAACTCATCCAAGAGCTTCCTCTGTGCGGCAATCCTCACACCTGGCAATCATATAAAAGAGATCAGCATTTCACGACATCGAGTAGTACTCACTAATTTAAGGTATAAAACCAAGGTTAAAAGATCAAAGTGCATCTAGAGTGGTTATTATTACCCAGAGCATTCTCTTCGATAAGCTCGGACTCCCGGTACAAGGGATGACTGCAGCAGGTGTTTGTCCACACAAGGGGGAAAGTTACCTTCGTCGCTGATCGTTGCTGTCCAGAGACATGATACCGTCAATTTACCCAACAGCTCAAGCATAAAAACATTCTTCCTCAAAATGGTTAAGTGCTAGTTGACCTCACTGACACTAATTAAAACGTCCAACCTTAGAGTTTTGACAGGACAGTCACTCAAAAAACAGCCAAATCATATATAAACAATTCGATCCCATGTAAACATGAAGCTACCTCTCCTTTACCATCCTTGGAATGAATGCACACACTGCTTCAGACAAGGGTCCTAAAACTGAGTCCACCGCAACTAAGACTCCTACTTAGTCGAATCTGATCAAGGTAGCTCAACATACAAAATTGTCGGTATTGTGGGATTATTTACCCATCGATTGATAAGTTTTGTTGAAATAGTTTGTTATCATGTAAAGATGTGATTGTTAGACATAAAAGGAAGTGATTATTGGATATGAAAAAAAGTAATTGTTGTCATTAAGAGAAGAAATGGTCAATCATGAAAGCGGTGATGGTTCGGATAAGGTAACTATTCCAAAAATATGTGTTGATTGGGTATCTGTAAATATGACCAAATTATACATTGTTCATCACAACTATTCATAACAACAACTCTCTTTTCTTCATGACATTCTTTCTTCTTTTCTTTTCACACGCAAGTTTAACAATACATTCAAGGTGAAGTTCCAAGAGGGAAATTGAGTAATTGCTATACTCGTTTCTCCGTGACTTCGGTGTGTATCTTCGAGGTATATTTGTTTTAAACTCAGGAGCACAAATAGTAAGGGCAAATAATATCTTTAGGCCAGTGACTATCATCACATATCAAAGCATTAAAAAAAACTATAAACTACTGCTCTATCTTCAGTAGCAAATAAGTTTTCCCGACATGTTTTGGAATGAATATGATGAACGACTCGATGACTTATTGAAGATGACGATGAAAAGAAGCCACTCGCTTCCAAATGCTCATTCTCATCACGTGTATAGGCTGCATTCTTGAAGTATATAGCTACACACCTGAAGCAGTAACTCGTACTTTGAGTTGAACAAGAAAACACTGAAAGATCTATGCAACAGATTTTCTTTCTCAATCCTTTCCATTAAGTGACCTGCAGTTTCCCAAAAGCATCACATATTAAAACCAGAAGTGAGCAGGAGAACCATTAATGAGTAGATCAAGAAGAGGGAAACTCTAGATTAATCCCTCACGTGCATTTATTCTATAATGCACACACTCAAAATAGTTAAAAAAGCTGAAGCCTCTATATCCGCACATACATGTGGCGCCCCGTGTGTAAGCCGGTAGATAATCAATTAAATAAAGCAGTGTTATCGTCCATAATCTAGCGAGATCGTGCAGAATAGGATAGGAGGAAGAAAGGCTACAAATCATGCAGATTCAAACCACGAAATACACTCGACTAACATGCACCAAGAAAAATCGCCTTACAATTATATTTCGATTCATGACCGGCAACCCGATCATTTTCGTCAACCAAAATGCATCTGCAAGAAGCCACAGTAATGGTAACATCAAAACAAACTGAGAAAAGCACGAAGGACAAAAGGTCAAGCATATATAAATAGTTAAGCTTGATAACCTAACCGTGCGAGATCACATGTGAGAGAGATGCAGAATAACTTGGACATTAGAGCGCTTGTGAAAAGATCCCGAAATCAACCGAAACCAAAACTTGTACTAACATGCTCCTACGTACACGTGATGTTAAGTCGGACCCAGAGGGAAGATATCGTCATGAACGATAGCTAAAGTTAGTCACTATAACTGTTCGTTGGAAGCACAAGCATATGAATGCCGAAAGTAAAGAGCGTGCAGCAACACCTTCGCAGCCTGCGACTCTTGCCTAATGATGGAGCCATATCAATCCTGCCCTGCGATATCAGATGACACCATATTGACCCTTGCACCACGCAAGGCAAGTTTGTACGCCCCGTCCCCACCCCCACTGAGCATTATGATTTCCCCGACCATTGCATCTTGCCCAGTCTTTGTGTTGAACTTTAACTATGATTAAAAAGACTTATCTAGATGTGCTACCATGCAATTTTTCAATCGAAGAATGATTATCAGTTAGTAGAGTAAGAAAAAAGACAATAAAGGCCTCCAATATATAAACCACATAACATAGGTTTTAATGTTCAAAATAGCTATGGTATGGGCGGGGTGAGTAAGGGAGTAAGAATGACTGAATCCATTCCCAAACTCACTTGTTGCGGGTTTTAAATGTTTCTTTAGAGGTGAGGCAACGCGGCCATTTCATGGGGCGAAATGATTGTCGTCCATGATCATTGCATAAGATAAGAACTGCCTAATCTCGTCCAAACAACGTTGAAACTTCAATGATCCTCATGAGTTGAAACAAAAATCACTGGGAAAAAAGGTGGAGGGGAAAGTTACAGACTCGTCCGCAAACATGAGGAGCCTCTGCACCGGGTCCATGCCGGCATCGGCATCGGCAGCTTCATGGATCGCGGCATTCGCGGCGGAGCGAATGGACAGAGGTCCGAAGCTTCGGAGTCGGCGAGGGGCCAAGCGGGAACGGAACCACGGGAGCTTGGAGGAGGGAGAAGAAGAGAAGAGAAGATGGGGACGGTGGTGATAGAGAGAGTTGTTCAATAGGGTAGTGGTCACAGGCATTGTATTGGCTTCTTCTTCTTCTTCTTCTTCAGCAGGGTGCTTGGTGGCTTTTATACTTACTTTTGCTCTCATGCAATTGCTGACATCGATCCTGTTTTGAAGGTCGCATCACATGTTGGTTTCGTTTGTTAATTCTCAACGTGGAAATCAGGTGAGACCCTTTTGGACATTTTTAGTAACACCATGCTTCCCACGGGTCAATTGTTAATGCCATTACGGAGATTGGATCGGAGAAAATAATGTCAGTTAATGTTTCCAATCTCAACTTTTTATCAGCACGTGTATGGAGAGAATTTCGCGGGACAAAAATCATAATTTATTCATAATATATATATATATATATATATATATATATATATATCCAAGTGTAATAACTCGATATTTTAATCATCCATTTGAATTTTGACTCGTATTTTTATGCACATCATGAGATTAGTGACAATATATTTTTTTTGTCGTAAGAAAATTTCATTCATTTGTCATAATCAAACATGAGAGGAATATAAAAATCTTTTAAGCAAAGCAAGTCCCAAAAGAGCAGCAAAACAAAACAAACCCAAATAACAAAAGAGTACGGCTTGCAACTATAATCACGCTTCCATCCCAACAGACCAGACTTGTCATAGCATCAAAAAACAATCGGTGGTCGATCACCGGAACCATTAGTGATGGGCACGAGCCGAGATCTGCCCTTCCGGAAATTATGGGTTGCTGTGCATGCGTATGTTCGGTGTCCTCAACACTATCCCATATGGAGACAATAACAACATGTTATATCATCACAGATCAAACATCTCTAAAAAAACTCCAAGATCTAGATTTAGATCAAGAGAGCAATGCTCCTAGATGTATTATATATACCTAAATTGGGAGAGGAGAGCTTTCGCTAAATCTCAGAGAAGTCATAGGACATCATGCTGGCTAAACTAGTGACAATGTTCTCACAAAATTTTCAGCTGCAAGTAGATTTATTCACCACGGCAAGCGAAGAAAAGCAACAACGCCAAGCGAAAAAACATGTCAAACGAGTCGAAAAAAGACTCCCAGATTAGATCAGGAGTGATAGAATACTTAAATAATAAATCATACATTAATCTAGTAACTTAAACTTTTAGAAGAATTCCCACAAAATCTCGTATCAAAAGCATAACGTCATGAGTTGGAATCTACTAGTTCCAATCTTTCCAAGCCCCTATTTGCTTCCTGATGAAATATTTCTGCGCTCAGTACTAAGCAAAGAGATTAGACTAAGCGTAAAGCGGAGTGATAGAATGCTTAAATAATGAACCGCGCCTTCATCTAATAACTTAAACTTTTAGAAAAGTTGACGATTGACTCACAAAATTTCACAGAAAGAGAAAAAAAAAAAGAAATCAAGACCTAGAAAGGAAAGTAGAGCAAAGCAAACTCTCAACTTCAAAAATTAACATTGAGAACCCGCAAGTAAAGATTTTTTTAGGGAGGGATTTTTTGGGAGAGAGGGTTGTCGACATAGAAAGTAGGGTTTTTTAGTGACGATATTACACAAGCTCCAAGTTTATAGACATAAGGCGGGATTCTCTCTCTCCTCTTTCTCTTTCTCGAGCGCACGGACACGCAAATACGCAAGAGTGCATACACATATACGGGCAAGGAATAAAAAGAAAAAAAGAGTTTATTTATGTGTAGAGAGAATGCATGTTTGAAATAAAACAATAACTTAGGAAAGAAATTCAAATAATTGTAAGATGAGAGAAACGTACATTTAGATTTAGAATACTCAAGGGATTAGCAGAGAATTGTTTTGACTATCTTTAAAAGAAGGATTAATACCACGAAAAATCTCAAACTGGTACACCTGTGACAAATTTATCCCAAACTAATATTTTGACCACTAAAAACCCCAAACCGGTACATTTGTGACAAATTTACCATCCGTTAGTTTATGTTAAATTGAATTAATACCACAAAAAATCACAAATTAGTACAAATGGAGGGTAAAACATAAAAATGGTACATCAGTTAACTGTCGCGTGTCATTTAACAAAGCAATTTGACAGTAAAATTTAACGGAAACAAACTGAGGGTAAATTTGTCACAAGTGTACCAGTTTGGGGGTTTTTTGTAGTCAAAAAATTAGTTTAAGATAAAATTGTCACATGTATACCAGTTTGGGGTTTTTCGTGGTATTAACTTAAAAAGAAAAAGTTTGATTATTTTGTTCTACCATGTTGATATGGTACATACTAGCAAAATGTATACACATTGCGTGTGCGTAAAAAACTTAGGCTTCCCTTATTTGCTTGCAAAATAAATTCTAAGAAAATTTACCGGAAAATTCACATTGAAACATAAGAAAGACGAGTTCCTACTTTTGAAAAAACAGAAATCGACCTCAGCACTCTTCCATGGTACACCATCATTTGCCGCCATCTCTCTTCTCTTTAAACATTAAACACGCACCGCCCCCACCGGCCGCTACACGTCATTGAACCGCCATACTCGCGTACCAGTGCCACCGTCTTCTGCATCATCACCAACCTCTGTCAATCAAAACGAAAGAGGAAATGGGAAATTGTGAGTTGGACCCAAAAAAAAAGGGAGGAAATAGTCAGGCCCAAGCTAGATTTCAAACCCGCCATCGGCGTAATATATATAAAAAAATGTTCAAAAACAAAACTTTAAGAAAAAAAGAAAATTGTCTGTGATCCACAAAAGTATTTACATCATAAAAATTTATTCACAATTTGATGAATTAGCTTGTGTAACCTTCATATCGCACGAAAAATTGATATCTCTTTTGGTAAATAAAAGCAAATTTTCTTTTCCAATAGAAGAAAATGATTTCCAGCTCGTTTTTGGATTTCGGTCAAACATGAAAAAAGATATTGTCATTTTCTTGAAATTTTCTTACTAGAAAATATTATCTAGAAATGTTAAATTTTTCGCAAAACAAACGAAGCCTCACATCTAAAAGATTTTGCAAAATCATCTTTATAACAAAATATATGAATTATAATTAATGGGAAGAAATTATGACACGCTATGAAAAGATGTACACGTATGTATGCGGAACTTTCATGGTGAGGTTTTTTATATGACAGAAAAGATTTACACTTTTAAATTGAAATACGTAACAATAAAATAGAATTAGGATTTTACACATTTGTCCGTTAATAGAATATTGATAAAATAATTGATCGAGAATATTTGGAGAAGCAAAAATTATTATGATCCCTCGAAAATAATTGGTTTTCTTTGATTCATATAACATTATAGATAGTATTAATCAACAACAGACATGGCATTCATGGAATCTCGCAGAGAAATTTAATGTTCAAATCCTTATTAGATTGAAAAGAACACATGCTTGCACGTGGTGGTTTCATCCCCCAAGTTCTTAATGCGCCTCCTCATCGGCACCATTATAGTATTAAAATATGTCCGAGTTTGAGCGTGTGGATGATTTTGATCTAAAAGTGCACGTGGATATCCAAGTTATATTTTCGTGAATATGATTTTCTTAATCTGGAAAGCCTATTGGACTTGGAAGTTGTCGAATATTGGAGTTTGAATCTTGGTCAACAATTAAGAAAGGGAAATTAATTCCCACTTCAAGTCGGTCCACGAAAAGCAGAAGAGGGGAAGGTTATTATCTCCCTCGTTGCCGAGTGGAAAGCAGAAATAAAAAGAAAAGAAAAGTTAAATATTTGCTGGAGGTAGTCATGGCCACGGGCCAGTTTCGGCCCGGTCAAACCCGGGCCCGGCCCGTTGACTGGGCCCGCGGTTTGGAATCGAAATCGGAACCGGCCCGGAACCGGCAGTTCCGGGCCCGGTTCCAAAAAAAAAAATTAAAAATTTAAATAAAAAAATAAAAACCTGCAACAGGGCCTGCACGCTTGCAGCCCTGCTGCGGCCCGTTGCCAGGGCAGCCTTTGCAGGCTGCCTTGGAAACGGGCAAAAATAAAATAAAATAAAATAATAATAAAAAGAAGAATAAAAAGATAACCGGAAGTCCTTCCCTCCCTCTCTCTCTCTCCAAACCACAACGAAGCATCGAAACTCAGGAGCTCGCGAGCGCGAGAGAATCCATGGCAGCTCCGCCGGCGATGTGACGATCCGGCGAGCGGGAAAGAGAGCGCGCAAGGGAGGAGCAGCAGAAGAAGAAGAAGAAGATCCGACGCGCCGTCCCGCCGCCGGATTCGATGCACTCGTACAATCGGCTCCCGAGCAGCGGACACTCCAGGTCCGGAACCGGTAGAAACCGGAACCTGCCGGTTCCGGGTCATACATGGCCACGAACCGGAACCGGCGGTTCCTGAACCGTGGCCATGTCTAGCTGGAGGAAACAAATATTCTTTCCTAATTGATGTTGGAGCCTACGGCTTTGAACAAGAAAGTCCAACGTGGCTTTTGATTCAGCCCATGACTCGGTCTAACTCTTGGACACATATAAATATCTCATACTGTGGGACACCTTTGGGAGGTAGAAGTTGATGAGTGCAGAGTCTGGTCTTCGTGCCGTCCATGTCCAGAGAAGACTTGAAGCGCCGAACCGAGTGCTTGACGTGAGTCTTCACACTACAAAAAAACATATTTTTTCCGACGAAATTTCCAACGAAAAATTTGAAAAAATTCGTTGGAAAACGAATTTCCAATGAATTTTCCAACGAAAAAAAATTCGTTGGAAATAAGTCGTCGCAAATTTTTCCAACGAAAAATTTCAATTTTCGTTGGAAATTTGCGACAAATTTTTTTTCGTTGGAAAATTCGTTGGAAAACTCGTGGCTAAATTCGTTGGAAACGAATTTTTTTTTCCGACGAATTTTTTTTCGTTGGAAACTACAAATTTTTTTTTGGTCGAATTAAAAATCGTGGAAATTTTTTTTCCATCGAAAAAAAAAAATTTTGGTCGAAATTTTTTTTTTAATCGAAAAATAGCCCTCGCCGCCGGCGAGGGCCGAGCTTGCCCAGATCTGGGCGAGCTCGAGCTCGCCGGCCATGGCGAGCTCGGCCCTCGCCATGGCCGGTGAGGGCCAGCCTCGTCGCCGGCGAGGGCCGAGCTCGGCCCTCGCCATGGCCGAAGATGAAGA